TGTCTGTTTCTTCCAGGAGGGTCACTCCACCCAGAATTCATTCAGGTTAATCTCTTAAATCCACACGCTTCTACGAAGGCTTTTGGTTCCACTGTTTTGATTTTATGCTCAGGTTTGGTTTGGTTTTGCTTATATGTTTTTGTTATTTTTGTTGAAGACCTGGTGGTTTCAACAAGCATTTGAGAATGACTAGTTCTACCTCAACCCTAGACATTGTTGAATATGGCCTTATTCTTCCTACCAATTACCCAGGTCACTTCCTCCAATAGACCCTGGAAATGAGCAGCCATAGAGCCTGCTATAAGCACTGCACTTAATTTCCGGCCCACCTAGAATTTTTGAGCTTGCACTAATCTCGGACTTTTAAGGTAGGATTACTTTTAATATATATGTATTATGGCAACAATTGTTATGCTTATATTGTTTTGTTAATCTTATGGTTATGTTTACTCTATATGTATTGATGATGTTACTTGAAAACCACTCTGAGTCCCCCTGGGGAGATAGAGCAGTATATAAATAAAGTTTTATTATTATTATTATTATTATTATTATTATTATTATTATTATTCCATTTGTGAGAAAACTTTCTTTGGTCCCTTCAAGGCCCATTCTACTCTGCCATATAATCCAGATTATCGAAGTAAATAATCCAGGTTATTTTATTTGAATTGAATTATAGGAGTCTATACTCATATGAGTGTATGAGTCTACACTCATATAATAGACTCATAAGTGTGCAGTCATATAATCCAGTTCAAATCTGACAATCTGGATTATGTGAGTCTACGCTGCCAAATAAAATCTTACATTGCCCTTGGCCCCTTCTACCCTGCCATATAAAATCCAGATTACCTTCTTTGAACTGGATTATATGGCCATGTAGACTCAGATAATCCAATTTAAAGCAGATAATCTGGATTATCCGATTTGATAATCGGGATTATATGGCAGTGTAGAAGGGACCATAGTGTGCTTCAGCCGAAAGCATTAAAACCAGATTCTTTGTTCCTTTAATTCTGGGTTAATTCAAACTTGAGCTATCAAGCCTGCTATCTCTGGATGTGTGTGTGTGTGTGTGTGTGTGTGTGTGTGTGTGTGTGTATATATATATGAGTTAGGCGATCCCTTGTTTTCCAAGGAGGATTGGCTTCCAATATTCCTGTGGGTCCGTATGTGACTGTGGAGCCCTATTCTTGCTCTGTGTCTTCTTCCGCAGTGAGGGCATTGGTTTCCAGGTGGAAAGCAGTCTCGGTTGAGGTTGGTTTGACGCGCCTTCCTCTTGGCATGCTTCTCTCTTTCTCCTTCCATTTGTGCCTCTTCAAATTCTGCAGCACTGCTGGTCACAGCTGACCTCAGCTGGAGCGGTCAAGGGCCAGGGCTTCCCAGTTCTCAGTGTCTATGCCAGAGTTTTTAAGGTTGGCTTTGAGCCCATCTTTAAATCTCTTTTCCTGTCCTAAAACATTCCGTCTTCCATTCTTGAGTTCGGAGTAGAGCAACTGCTTTGGGAAACGGTGGTCAGGCATCCGGACAACGTGGCCGGTCCAGCGGAGTTGATGGCGGAGGACCATCGCTTCAATGCTGGTGGTCTTTGCTTCTTCCAGCACACTGACGTTTGTCCGCCTGTCTTCCCAAGAGATTTGCAGGATTTTCTGGAGGCAGCGCTGATGGAATCGTTCCAGGAGTTGCATGTGATGTCTGTAGACAGTCCACGTCTCGCAGGCATATAGCAGGGTTGGGAGGACAATAGCTTTATAAACAAGCACCTTGGTATCCCTACGGATGTCCGGTCCTCAAACACTCTCTGCTTCATTCGGAAAAATGCTGCACTCACAGAGCTCAGGCGGTGTTGTATTTGGGTGTCGATGTTGACTTTGGTGGAGAGGTGGCTGCCAAGGTAGCGGAAATGATCAACATTTTCTAATGTTACACCATTAAGCTGTATCACTGGCATTGGAGAGGGGTTGGCTGGTGTCTGCTGGAACAACACCTTGGTTTTTTCAATGTTCAATGACAGGCCGAGCTTCTCGTATGCTTCTGCAAAGGTGTTTAGAGTGGCTTGTAGATCTTCTTCTGAATGTGCACAGACGATGTTGTCATCAGCATACTGGAGTTCTATAACAGATGTTGTTGTATATAACAGATGTATGTATATATATCTATATATATAAAAATGGAAAGGGCGTTCAACGGGACAGCAAAACGCGAAAAACCCTGACGAAAACTCACCCAATTTGCCGTGCACATACCTCAACCCACAAAGTATGCACAACACTCATCAAAATTCCAAACAACATTTCAACAAACTCACAATTACAAAAACCAACTGAGCATGCGCAGTGCCCAGGGGAGGAAGTACACACGCAATGCACTCTGGGAACTGTAGTTCTAGAACGCGGCCTACCCGCTGACGCTGAAGCCCCGGCCTGGGAGTTGGAGCTCGGCCGGCTGTGCTCGCTGGGGGCCAGGATGCTGCGCGACCTGAGGAGGCTGCCCGGGAGGCCCCCGCTGCGCGCCTTCCTGGCCCGGCCAGGAGAGGCCGCGGCCCAGCTCTGCCGAGGACAGCCCATTGGCCACCGCAACGCCCGGCCCAGGCCGCCCCCGCACACCGCCGTCTGGCTCCACCATCGGTGAGGAAGGGGAAGGAGGGAAGGAAGCGGGAGAGGGAAGGAAGGACGGAAATGAGGGGAAGGGGTGTAAATAGCAAGGAAGGAAGGAAGGAAGGAAGGAAAGAAGGAAAGAAGGAAGGAAAGAAAGAAAGAGAGTGGAAAGGGGAAGGGAAGGTGAAGGAAGGAAGGAAGGAAGGAAGGAAGGAGAAGTTGAGAAGGTATATGAAACAAGAAAGGAAGAAAAGAAAGAAGAAAGGGAGAGAAGGAGGATGGGAAAGAAGGGAGAAAGGAAGGAAGGAAGAAGAAAGGAGGGAAGGGAAGGTGTATGAAGGAAGTAAGGAAGGAGAAGTTGAGAAGGTATATGAAAGAAGAAAGGAAGGAAAGAAAGAAGAAAGAGAGAAGGAGGATGGGAAAGAACGGAGAAAGGAAGGAAGGAAGGAAAGGAAGGAAGGAAGGAAGGAAGGAAGGAAGGAAGGAAGGAAGGAAGGAAGGAAGGAGAAGTTGAGAAGGTATATGAAAGAAGAAAGGTAGGAAAGAAAGAATAAAGAGAGAGAAGGAGGATGGGAAAGAAGGGAGAAAGGAAGGAAGGAAAGAAAGGAGGAAAGAAGGAAGGAAGGGAAGGTGTATGAAGGAAGGTGTATGAAGGAAGGAAGGAGAAGTTGAGAAGGTATATGAAAGAAGAAAGGTAGGAAAGAAAGAATACAGAGAGGGAAAGGGAGAAAGGAAGGAAGGAGGAAAGGAAAGAAAGATAGAAAAAAGAAGAAAGGGAAGGGGAAGGGAAGGTGTCAAAAGGAAGGAAGGAAGGAAGGAAGGAAGGAAGGAAGGAAGGAAGGAAGGAAGGAAGGAAGGAAGGGGAATTTGGGAAGGGGAAGAGAGGAAAAAAGCGAAGGAAGAAGAGAAAGGGAGGGAAGAAAAGAAAGAAAGAAAAGGAAGTCTGGAAGTCAAGAGTGAAGGAAGGAAGGAAAGAGATAGAGAGGGAAGAAAGGAGAGAAAGAGGAAGGAAAATAAAAAGGGATGAGGAAAGAAAGAGGAAGAGAAGGAAGGAGGAGAGAAGGAAAGAAAAAAGGGAAGGGAAGAAAGATGGAGCAAAGGAAGAAGAGAAAGAAGGAGAGAAAGAGGGAGGGAAGGAAAGAAACAAAGAGAAGGAAGGATGGGAGCAAAAAGCTAAGGAAGGAAGTAAACAGGTAGAGAAGGAAGAAAGGAAAGAAGAAAAGGAAATGAAGGAAGGAGTGAAAGAAGGAGAGAAAGAGGGAGAGAAGGTTGGCCACAGCAACGCCTGACGGGTAAAGCTAGTATATGTATATATACATACATACATACATACATACATATACACATCCAGAGATAGCAGCCTTGATAGCTCAAGTTTGAATTATACACACACACACACACTGCAGAATTGTGGTGATACAGCATAGAATCAATGCAATTTGATCCCACTTTCATTGCAGACGTCGGTTTAAGGTTGTGTTGTTGAACAGCCCACGCCAGAGCTCCCTGTCAGCCGTCACCACCCCCAGCTCCTTCAAGGTCAGTCCAGTCACTTCAAGGATGCCATCCATCCATCTTGCCCTTGGTCGGCCCCTCTTCCTTTTGCCTTCCACTTTCCCCAGCATAATTGTCTTCTCTAGGCTTTCCTGTCTCCTCATGATGTGGCCAAAGTACTTCAACTTTGTCTGTATCCTTCCCTCCAATGAGCAGCCGGGCTTTATTTCCTGGAGGATGGACTGGTTGGATCTTCTCGCAGTCCAAGGCACTCTCAGAACTTTCCTCCAACACCACAGCTCAAAAGCATCGATCTTCCTTCGCTCAGCCTTCCCTAAGGTCCAGCTCACACATCCGTAGGTTACTACAGGGAATACCATGGCTTTGACTAGGCGGATCTTTGTTGCCAGTCTGATGTCTCTACTCTTTACTATTTTATCGAGACTGGACATTGCTCTCCTCCCAAGAAGTAAGCGTCTTCTGATTGCCTGGCCACAGTCTGCATCTGCAGTAATCTTTGCACCTAGAAATACAAAGTCTGTCACGGCCTCCACATTTCTCCCTCTATTTTCCAGTTGTCAATCATTCTTGTTGCCATAATCTTGGTTTTTTTGATGTTTAGCTGCAACCCAGCTTTTGCGCTTTCTTCTTTCACCTTGATTAGAAGGCTCCTCAGCTCCTCCTCGCTTTCGGCCATCAGAGTGGTGTCATCTGCATATCTGAGGTTGTTAATGTTTCTTCCAGCAATTTTTACCCCAGCTTTGTATTCATCGAGCCCCACACATCGCATGATGTGTTCTGCATACAAGTTAAAAAGGTTGGGTGAGAGTATGCAGCCTTGCATAAGGTTACTGTGGCTTTAAGGGAGATATCGAATTGTAACGAGGAGGGAGGAGCCAAGCAACCTCACGTTCTTTAAAGCCTAACAGGAGGAGGGAGGCGAAGCATTCGGGAGGTCGAGTTTACTGCGGCTGCGCGGCTCTTTGGATCAGCACACAGAATGTCTGGAGACTCCCCTCTTAGCTTAAGCAAAGGTGAGGATGCTTCTTTCTGCAGCAAAGTCGATCCATAGAGATGACATTTAGGTGAAAGAAAGCTCGGGAGGGTTGCCTGCTTGGGTTTGCTGAAGATCAGCATCTACACTGTGGAGTTTAACTCAGTTTAGCATCACTTAGCCATGTCTGGGGGCTATAGAATCCTAGGAGGGGTTTTACAAAGTTTGTAGCCAAAGAGAGTTGGTGCCTCATCAAACTACAAATCCTATTATTCCATAGCATTGGCCATGGCAATTAAAGTGTTGTCAAACAGTGTTAATTCTATTGTATCAATGCTGTAGTGTAGTGTTGATTATACTGTGTATAAGAGCAACAGGAACTATGAAGGTCTTGCAGTTTAGAGAAGTTCTATACTTTGGACAACTGTTTAAACCAGGCATGGGCCAACTTGGACCCTCCAGGTGTTTTGGACTTCAACTCCCATCATTCCTAACAGCCTCAGGACCCTTCCTTTTCCCTCTCAGCTGCTTAAGCGGCTGAGGGGGAAAAGGAAGGGTCCTGAGGCTGTTAGGAATGATGGGAGTTGAAGTCCAAAACACCTGGAGGGCCCAAGTTGGCCCATGCCTGGTTTAAACCATAAGAAAAGTAGAGATTATTCGTGAAGAGTGGGAAAAGCATCCACCGATTAATTTTTGGAAGTTTTCTCTAGTTAGTAGATCCAAAATGTTTTGTTCACTAATGCAAATCTTATTTTGACTTGGTTTCTTCAAATTGGATTGTTTTTCTTGCTCTCTCTTTCTCTTTGTTTCGGTTTGATTTAAGAACCTATTCCCTTCCTTTTCGTGTTATTTCTGCTGCTAACAAATTTTCTATTAAGTGATCCCCAAGAATTTTATTTTTCCATGTCAGGAACAACTTTAGAAACTGCAAGTTGCTTCTGGTGTGAGAGAATTGGCTGAGTGTCTGCAAGGACATTGCCCAGGGGATGCCTGGATGTTTAATGTTATACCATCCTTGTGGGGCAGGCCCATAGCCAGGATTTTGATTCGGGGTTGGCTGAGTTTGGGGGGGGGGGGGCTGAGGATCTACCCTAGCAAACCTTTTGTATTATTACCCCAATACCCCCATGCATATGAGATATATTGAGTATGGTGATCAGATCATGATATGAATAAACATAACAGTTTAAATAATGCACCAGTAAGGCCTTTTCTCAAACCACCATGAGAATTTGGGGGGGGGGCTGAAGCCCCTCAAGCCCCCCCACCCCCCCCCCCCCCCCCCCGTTTTACCATCCTTGTGGGAGGCTTCTCTCATGGCATGGGGAGTTGGAGCTAACAGAGAGAGCTCAACCTGCTCTCCCTAGATTTGAACCCCTGACCTGTCGGTCAGCAGTCCTATCAGCACAAGGGTTTAACCCATTGAGCCACCAGGGGCTCCTAGAATGCATCCCCAAGAACAGTTAAACTTCTTTAACTAAGATATACCTGGGTTGTTGCAGGTTTTTCGGGCTATATGGCCATGTTCTAGAAGCATTCTCTCCTGATGTTTCACCTGCATCTATGGCAAGCATTCTCACAACCTCTCAGGATGCTTGCCATAGATGCAGGCGAAATGTCAGGAGAGAATGCTTCTAGAACATGGCCATATAGCCTGAAAAACCTACAACAACCCAGTTATCACAGTGCAATTGTTTTATTGTAGATCTATGTGTTTTCCTTGTGGGTAGGAGAGAATACAGTTCCAACTTTACCCTGTTTTGTGAGCAGTATTTACACTTCAGTGGACAAAGCGCTTATTTTTAGCCATTCAGCTGACTACAGTAAATTCTTAAACTCCTTTCATCTGTTGCTGAAATGCATATCTTTTGGTGAAATAAGCCATGGCTGAGTCACGAGAATGAAATATGTGGATTATGTACAAGATGAGTGCAGGGTGCGTCCCCTTGAAAAATGTATACAGACAGTCCCCAAGTTATAAACATCCAACTTACTTAAGCGATCCCTCATTGTCCGAGTATGATGGCCTTCCAAGTGTAGTGTCTTGCCGCTGGATATGTAGATGTGTGTGGAGCCCTGTTCTTGACCTGCATATTCTGCCACAGTGAAGACATCAGTTTCCAGGTGGAAGGTGGTTCCAGTCAGGGTTGGCTTGATCCACCTTCCTTTTGGCATGTTTCTCCCTTTTGCCCTCCATTAGTGCCTCTTTGAATTCTGCAGCACTGCTGGTCACAGCTGACCTCTAGTTAGAGCACTCAAGGGCCAGGGCTTCCCAGTTCTCAGTGTCTATGCCACTGTTTTTAAGGTTAGCTTTAAGCCCATCTTTAAATCTCTTTTTCTGTCCACCAACATGTCAGAAATATTAAAAACTAACTAGGTATTTTAATTACAAAAATGTGAGTCAAGTTAAGTGGATGCAATGACTCAGCAAATCTGCAGTTCATTTTAACAGGGGTGCCTGTTGCTTAGTAACACCCTCAGTCTGAGAGAAGCCTCTCTGTGTGAGAGAACAGGTCTCAGTGGGAGAATAGGTCTCAGTGGTAGTAGGCTTCACTGTGGGAGAAAGACCTCAGAGTGTGAGGTAGACTTCATTATGAGAAGGCCTTGTGTGTAAAGCTCCAGTGTGAGGGTTGAACTTTATTTGTGTCATGGAAAATATTGCAACCATAAAGAAAAGCCTCCTATGGAAGATATAACATTGGTCTGTGTGTTTTGGTTTTTTTTATCACTTTGGGCTACTGGTGCTGGGTCATGTTACTGCTGATAAGTTACTCTATTGTGCATTTATGGAGAAGGTCTTTTGTTAATAAGCCCACTTGCTCAACCCAACATTCCATTTTCCATTCTTGAGTTGGGAGTATTCGTAACTGCTTTGGGAGATGATAATCAGGCATTTAGACAACGTGCCCAGTCCGGCGGAGTTGATGGTGTAGGAACATCATTTTTTATAAGTAACTCATCCCTACAATGGGGATGAGACAACCGGACGTGAGAGCTATCTACCCCTTGGAAGGGAAATTCACACCTGTAAGAGATGTTACAGAGAAAAGGTGTCTCCACTGAAGCTTTATCACCAATCCTTGTTTCTACAACAAGCCAAATTTTTCAAAATCCAATAATCAGAGGGACAGAAAGTGAGGTGAAATCTTCTGAACAGGGGCACAGGCAGCAAAACAAACACCATGAGGGGGTTAGCCCTTCCCTATGCTATCCAAAGCTTAGTTATATAGATAATATATATATGGCTGGAGTTATACTTTAAAAATGTACCTGTTCCAACTTATAAACAAATTCAACTTAAAAACCAAACCTACATAATGTATCTTGTTTGTAACTTGGGGTCTGCTGATACCCACTTTACCAACTCGTAGTGTGGAATTTATTTACAAGCCAAGTAAATATATTTGTATTGAAGACTAAATGCTATAATAATGTTTAGTTAGTTACAAATTCTATTTGAAATTACAATTTTATGTCAAGTGTATTGTCGCAGGCTTTTATGGCCAGAATCACTGGATTGTTGTAGGTTTTTTCGGACTATATGGCCATGTTCTAGAGGCATTCTCTCCTGACATTTTGCCTGCAACTATGGCAAGCATCCTCAGAGGTAGTGAGGTGAAGTGTTTATGTAAAGTGTTCACACCTTTGAAGGAAACCACACACCCACACTCGTTTATCTTTCTCCCTTATGTCTTGTTCTGATCTTTTTTTTTTGGGGGGGGGGGGGGGCCTATGACTGTGTTAGTTCTGACAAAAACGATTCAGGCCATAGAATCATAGAGTTGGTGGAGATCACATGGGCCATCCAGTCCAACCCCCTGCCATGCAGGAAAAGCGCAATCAAAGCACCCTGTTGGCTCATGTTCAACTTGTTGTCCACGAAGACGCCAAGATCTCTTACACATGGACTGTTGTCAAGATGAGTGTCACCTTCTATACGTGGGACGTCATCCTCTTCCACCAAGCATGCAGCTTTGGGAGGGACGCACATGGAGCAGTGAGGGAGGAAGGGGACACCCGCCTAGCCAGCCAGATCAGCCGAATCAATCTTGGCGATCAATGGGGTGACAGGTGTCGACGTCCCAGGTATAGAAGGAGTCTACCGAGGTCTCCAGTCTTCAGTCCCGGGTATATGATAGCTGCGCTCCCCTGCTAGAACCTCCAAACAAGTTCAAGATGAGTGTCGGCCATCCTGTATCTGTACATTTAATTTTTTTCTGCCTAATACTACATTTTTTTTCTTGTCAAAGTAATGTATTTTTTGTCTTCCAGGAAGCCCTGCTCCAGGGCCTGTGCCTGAAGGAATCATCCGTCTCTACAGTATGCGCTACTGTCCCTTTGCACAGAGAGCACGACTTGTCCTGCAAGCCAAAGGAATTAAGTAAGATCAATATTAGTTACTTGTTTATTTAGTTTTTATGCCACTTTTTCCTCAGTACAGGACCCAAGGCCGCTTATAAAACATTTAAACCATCGTACAATCAAAATTCTTGAAAATTAAAGCATATTTTTATAAATTAGTAAAGGACAAAAATACAAAGGTTCTAATTTTCCCAAACACCCTATTTCAAAATGGAAACAATATGGTGCTGGAGGAGTGAAGTGGCAATCAGATTACAAATGTAAATCTCATGTACTCCCTAGCTTCCCAATCCCTATAGCAAGCATCCTCAAACTGTGGCCCTCCAGCTGTTTGGGCCTCCAACTCCCAGAAGCCCTAAGAAGGTTGTTCAATTGTCAGGAACCCTGGAAGTTGAAGGCCCAAACAGCTGGAGGGCCACATTTTGAGAATACCTGCCCTATAGGTTCCTCTACTTCCATATCAACATCCTGGTTGCAAACACCCCTCAAAGTTTTAGCAGGTCATCTTCCAAGCTTTCCACATGTTCTCAATTCCTGGCAATATCCCTAGGTGCATCTTTCATAGAAATTATCCAAGATGACCTGCTCTTGGATATTAATTTCATCTTCATTGGCATAATACTTCCAGAAATGTGTCAGAAGGGAAACTGCCATCAACAAAGTAGTCCAGAAATGACAATACAGTGGGTCTTGGTTGACTTGCTTTTCTGACTCTGTGGCCTATTCTGAAGCTTCCTGCATTGCAGTTTCCTGTTCTGGCTTACGTTGCTCCATCCTCAGGTTCTCCTCACACACTTTCATCTTCTGGATGTCTTAATCTGTATTTTGAAGGATGATTACATGTTCCTTTGGGAAATGCAGTGGATGGATGAGATTACCTACAAGATTCCTGCTGGCATGGTGAAGATCTTTCCTATGAAAAAGTAGCAGAGAAACAAATTTATAGATAAAAGCAACAAATTACATTATTGGCCATGGCAGATGACATATTTTCTAATTCCAGAAACATTTGTGGACTTGCCGATACATGGCGCTGTTACCTTGTCCTAAGAAAGTGTTAAGGCTCAGTCTATTCCAGGGCCATGTTTTGACAATAGGTTACTATAAGCTGAGAGGAATGGATTTCTCAGTAAGAGGGGTGTATATCATCCTGTCTCCATTATTAAGACATGGTTTTGCTTGACTAGCCTGCTGTAAGACCAGCAGAGAAGTACATTACATGACCTTTGCAGGAGAGGCAGGCATAGCTAGGCTTCCCACACCTGTCTCAATGGAGTAAAGAAAAGGTTCACTGTTACTGCCTGCAGTTTCAGCTGCAGGACTGCTACTGTATTGTACTTTTTGACTACCCAAGAACCAGAGGTCTCTGTGTGTTGTACGTTATGTTAAATATGTAAAAAAAATAATGGTAACCAGGTTCAAGGAAAGGCACTGCAGCACATATATCACCAAGGGGAAACCAGCAGAAAAATGGAAGATTGTAAGCTTTTGTAGCACTGAATATAGTGAACATTGTGATGTATTGTATCTTTGTAATGTTGCTGAGCAATATTTTATAGCTAGAATGTTAGTCTTTTATATCAATAAATATACAGTTGATGTAAATTTCTAAGCCTTATCTTGCAGTTTCCCAAGGTTAGTGATTTTTAGGGCTATTGTTGCCCTTTGAAAATGCAAATGGACAGAAATGATTGGATAGTGTTTAGAAATTTGATTACTTTTACTATTCACTCTTGTAGTGAGAAACTGCTGTCAAAAATAACTGCTATTCTTTTCCATGTCGTCCTCTTTAGTCATGAAATTGTGAATATAAACTTGAAAAATAAACCTGATTGGTTTTTTGAGAAAAATCCTTTTGGCGCTGTCCCTGTGTTGGAGACAAGCAAAGGTCAGCTGATTTATGAGTCTCCAATCACTTGTGAGTATTTAGATGAAGCATACCCCGAGAAGAAGCTATTCCCACAAGATCCTTATGAGAAAGCTTTCCAGAAGATGATCCTGGAACTGTTCTCCGCAGTGAGTACTGAAGGACAATGGGAAATCAGTTTAACTTGTTAGATCGGTGGTTCCCAATCTGTGGCCATGGACCACCAGTGGCCCGCAAGGACTAAAATATGGTCCACGGCCTCACCATCACTACACCGTTGCAACAAGAGCGACTGGTCTCTTGAAACCCTCTGATAGTGTCAAGGCTTATTAAATATGTTTTTTTGTGGGTGAGCAGATGGCGATTACAGGATGGCATATAGTATGTCTCTTTATCAGAAACTAGAGTTGATGGGGTCTATCCAATACAATTTTCTTTATCAGCACCCCAAATAACCAAACCAAATGTAAAGTTGACCAAAAACCGATTCGTAACCTTTTTGGTACTAATGTTGGAGAGAGGTCTCTGGTCAAAGTGGTCCCTGGTCAAAAAAACAATATACCAAATGCTATAGGCTCTATACCAAATGCTATAGGCTCTGTTGTAGAGGAAGGAACTGGCAAAACCCATCTCCTTGTCTACACAATTAATGAGATTATCATAAGTCAGTGAGTGATTTGAAGGTACATATATACACACACTATTTAAGAAAGGGGAAAAGCAAGGCTTACATCTTTAGTGACACCTTTAACGATGTCCATTAGGGTTAAAATACTTTGGGGGACTTCCTGATGAATTAAAATACAACTCCCACAATCCCTCACCATTGGAAAACACCCAGTGAAATTGCTTTTAAAAATTTAGAATGGTTCAGGAGTAGAAGCTGAATTTGGATGCAAATAACAATGCTCTTATTGACAATAATATTGGATAGCAGTGTATCAATTTTCATAAATCTGATGGTGGTGGCAGGATTTTGCCTTGTACTTTAGTCACATAGCTTGCGTATCTTCCTTGAATTTGAATGTACAGCTTTTCTACAGCTTGATAATTGTGCAATTTCTGCTTTAATTAGCTGCCTTCTCTGGGCTACAAACATATTTTGGGCGTGAAGAAGGGAGAAGATGTGTCCGCTGTGAAAAAAGAGTACTGTGAAAAGCTTCACAAATTAGAAGAGGTGAGAGTCGGGAATTCCCAAAGAAAGCTGCAAAACCCATTTGTGGGTTGGAGCAGCGGTTTTTGTGCAAATGTTTTGTACACTTTGCTGACTAAACCTAGGTATCTATGTACATCTAGATAACTTTGTGGTTCTACTCCCAGAAAAATGGATTGAAGATGAGTTAAGGATCATATTGCTCCGCACTTTAGGATCGTATTTTTAAAGAAGTAGGAGTCCCTGGTAGTGCAGTGTGTTAAAGCACTGAGCTGCTATACTTGCTGAACAAAAGGTCAGTGGTTCGAATTCGGGGTGAGCTCCCACTGTTATCTCCAGCTTCTGCCAACCTAGCATTTCGAAAACATGCAAATGTGAGTAGATCAATAGGTACCACTTCTGCGGGAAGGTAACAATGCTCCATGCAGTCATGCCAGCCACATTACCTTGGAGGTGTCTACGGACAACGCTGACTTTTTGGCTTAGAAATGGAGATGAGCACCACCCCACAGAGTCGGACATGACTAGACTTAGTGTCAAGGGAAAACCTTTACCTTTACTTTATCTTTTATATAAATGCTTCATGGTTTTTAGGAGAAGGAAACCTAATATTCCAATCCTAAAAGCAACTGAAATAGGGGAACACTCAAACTAGTGGGTCTTCCACATAACGGCTATTAGCTCACTCTAGAAAAACTTCAGCTCATCCACTCTAAGTGCATTCCACTAGAGGGAGCCATCCATGCACTTGGATAAATTTAAGTTTTATATACCATTTATTCAGACCATGCAGAAAAATATAACAAAATAAAAAATCCCCAAGGAACAAATCCCTCAGTTGGGCAGTTCCAAAGCACAAAGTACATTATGTTATGCATGCTTTTACTGATTTTCTTTATCAGGAAAGATGTTAAAAAGCAGGAGGCAATGATGATGTTAGAGTCACATGCCTACATTCTGTTTGAGATATTGTAAATCGAGATGTCCTATATGTTTTCCTTATTTAATAGTTTAGAAACTCCTTGAGAAATTCAATGTCCTCTGCAATTATAAGGAGCAGTTAGATTCACACAGGACAGGGACATGTGGATCTCAAGATAATTTTTTCTGTTTCTATTGGAATTGAAAATTTACCACTTGTCTCTTGTTCTCACCTGGACCATAAATGTCCTCTACCAGCATTAAAATTTTCCAATGATATCTTAACTAACAACATCACAGTTAGAATGTAAGCCTTTTAGTATAAAATCATCACACTTTTTTACCTGCATATACAGTCTACTAAGGAACAGCAACCATCATGTTGATCAGCTGAAACACCACTTAAACTCTTTCTTTAATTCTATTTTAATGTTTGTATATGTTTAGGGTAGAAATAATGCTGCTGCTGCTGATGATGATGATAATGATGATAATAATAATAAAAAACTTCAGTTTCTGTGTGGCCTTGTAATATGCTGTACTAAAAGGTGTGCTAGTTAGAAGTCTCCTGTCTCTTTCCTTCTCAGATTTTGGTGAACCGTAAAACTAAGTTCTTTGGTGGGAACTCAGTAACCATGATTGACTACCTGATCTGGCCATGGTTCGAGCGCTTGGAGCTCTTCCAGTTACAAGAGTAAGCCTTTTGAACCTTTTATTCTTCCAAACTTGAATATTCTTCTGCCAGTTTTCCTTCAGTTCTTTACCAGTGTCACAGTGTAGTCAAAGAGCAGCATAGAGAAGAAAGACAGGAAAGAAAGTTTGACAGCCTCTTTTCCTGTACTCTCACGTAAATATAAAACAGCAAGTCAGAGGTTGGAGAAGCTGCTATTTTGGAACTGTAGCATCCAGAATCTTCTAATCAGCATAGCTATTTTGCAAAAAAAAAAAAAGTATACTGTGCTATATGGTGTACAGCAAAAGTGATAATGGTGTAAAAGAACTTGATTCTTGTGCAGCTGTTGTTGGATGAAAATTGCTACTGAAATATTGAGCAAGCATAAATAGTGTCAAACTATGGTCTTCCTGGTGGCACAGTGGGTTAAATCGTTGAGCTGCTGAACTTGCTGACCAAAAGGTCAGTGGTTCAAATCTCCCGCTGTTAGCCCCAGCTTTTGCCAACCTAGCAGTTTGAAAACATGCAAATGTGAGTAGATAAATAGGTACCACTTTTGCGGGAAGGTAATAGCACTCCATGCAGTCATGCTGGCCACATGACATAGGTGTCTACAGACAATGCTGGCTCTTTGGCTTAGAAATGGAGATGACCACCACCACCACCCCAGAGTTGGACATGACTGGACTTAATGTCAAGGGAAACCTTAACTTTGCTTATGGTCAGGTTTAGAAACTAATTAGAGAAAGATCACATTTCTTTGACCAGCAGACATTCATCCCCAGTTAGTTAGGTTCTGTCATTGGAGAAATCCATCTTACACATCTGTTTGGTAAAAGCAAACACTAGCAGTAAGTTCAGGTCTGCAGTTTTGTTCTTTGACATAATTTTAGATCTGACCTTAACTTCAAATCCATTTTACCTGCTGATCTATCTTTTAGAGCCTTGTTTCTTTTCCTTTTTTTAAAAAAAGAGAAAGGAAATTGAAATCTAGAATAAATCAAATCTTGTAGAGAAACCTCTTCAGGTAGTAGCAAAGGAAGCTGGATCTGTGGCTTCAGTGAAGTGGGGTGTGCCACAAGTATGTTTCACTTTGAGAAAAAAAGGAAGTTACTGGGGAAAACAAGCACATGAGAAACAGGAGAAGGAAAAGGAGCCAATTCCACAAGGTCAATGAAGTGACATCCATAGCCAGCTCCTTCTCTTCTTCTGTAGGATGTCTGTTTTGCTTGGCACAGGAAGGGAGGGCAAAACAGAAACATGGAATACGTCTATTTCCTGAACACTCTATGGCAGCCCCAACTTTAAAAGGCAGACACAGGACTATTGATAATTAAGTATTGCAAAAGGGAACTAACTACAAATAAACAATTATTTGTGGGTTGCTGTCCGTTTTCCTGGCTGTATGGCCATGTTCTAGAAACATTCTCTCCTGACGTTTTGCCCACAACTATGGCAGGTATCCTCAGAGGTTATGAGGTCTGTTGGAAACGAGGCAAGTAAGGTTTATATATCTGTGGAATGTCCAGGGTGGGAGAAAGTCTGTTTGAGGCAGATTCCCCCAGGCAGTAACAAGCCACACCTAAAAACTGTCAGGCCATCAAATGCTAATCAAGATGGCCAATTGAAGCATTCACACTTGCCTTAAACAGACAAGAGTTCTTTCTCCCATCCTGGGCATTCCAAAGATATATCAACCCCACTTACTTAGTTTCCAACAGAACTCACAACCTCTGAGGATGCCTGCCACAGATGTGGGTGGAACGTCAGGAGAGAATGCTTCTGGAACACGGCCATACAGCCCAGAAAACTCACAGCAACCCAGTGGTTCCGGCCATGAAAGCTTTGTCAACAAATAATTCTTTGTTAGTGGCTACTTTTTACATTGTACTAGTCCTGTGTTGCTGTCTCAGCCACATGCTTTTGACAACTGCAATTCAAACAGCCAGCATTGGAGGTCCTGTGAGTGTGCATCTAAAACTGCTAAACTGAATGACTGGCAGACGTTTTCCAGATTCTGGGTCTTCCCCAACTCCCAGCGCTGTGTCACTGAACCAGAATATTCAAAGGTGGGTTTCACAGTTAAATTCAAAACATTTTCTGTTCTCCTACAGCTGTCTGGATCATGTTCCAAAACTAAAACAATGGGTTGAAGTCATGAAGCTGGATCCAGCTGTCCAAGCAACAATGTCAGATGCTCAGAAGATCAAAGGTTTCTTTGAGCTGTACCTGAAAAATAGTCATGAGGCCTGTGACTATGGGGTTTCAGCTAGCTAGTGGCAAAGCATACTGCATAGCTGTTGTTGCAGAATCTCTATCTGATACCTAAGGTGTGTTGCTCATTTGTTGTATGGGCCTGTGCTGTATTTCTTCCTCTAAAGAAAAAAGCAGAAAATGGGGACAGGAAGAACATTTGCAAATTCTTCTTTCTTCCAAAGTTGTCATGCCACTCTATCCCTAGACACAACTTTAATGTAGTTGGTTGTTGGTTGGTTCCTATTGTTGGTTGGTTGGTTGGTTACTATTGTTAGTTCTGTCGCTGTTTTAAAACCAATTGTTTCCTCTCAGCAATAAATATACTTTCAACACAGACTTTTCTTGTCTCCTTTTGTGTGCAACATTGAGCAAAATTACACAGTTCGGCTTAGATTTGTTTCCACTATACTGAGTGTTTACTGGCCAAATCACAGTGCCTCTTCACAAGCTCAATGTACCTTTGAAGACTGTTACCTTTTTAAAAAAAATATCTAGGAGCTGAAAATGGGAAAGGAAAAACCCCACATGTTTTCCCTGACCAAAGGCATGTATAAAGTTGCCAATATACCTCCAGATTAGTGTGTTGTACCAGAAATGTGAAACTTAAAAAATTGAAAGTTGTATTTGGAATAAACTTTGAAGCACCAACATTTGATGGAGATTATGCCAAAAGAAAATACTATGAGATTCTTAATGCTGTTGCCTTTGTATTAGATAACATTATGTAACAATTAAAACAATCTGTGCCAGGTTTCAAAGTGTTATTTCCTGTTTAATCGTGCAATGTTTACTTTGAAAGTAGTTGTTCTACTCCAGAAACGTTGTTTTTGTGGCTACCACAAACTACGTTGAATTGGTTGAGATTCTTATAACATGCCTCCCAGCCAACGAGGGGAGAAGTTTTGGGGAGAGGAAGGGCGGGGTGGGATTTCGGCACGGCAGCCATCGCACTATACAAAGGGCAGCACATGGCTCAGAGGCTCATTGTGAGCACAGGAAGGGAAGGGGAAAGAGAAAAGGAAGGGTGGTTGTGAAGGGAGGTTGGAAGAAGAGCGGTTGGAAGAGCAGGGCAAGCGGAGAAGGGCTGGGAGCAGGGCTGTTGCTTGCCTGCCTTGCAGCCGGTTGTGTGTTGTTGCTGTTGGGGGGGGGGGGGGGAGGAGGGCAGCAGAGAACCAGGGCAGGGAGAAGGGCTGTTGTGCAATCGTGTCTGCCATTAACGAAGCAATTTGGAAATTTTGGAAAGTTCTGAATTTTTTTCAGAAACATTCAGAATTCTTTTCCGAACCGAACCACCACTACATCCGAAACGAGTTTTGAACCATTTTTTTAATCAACCAAGCCTAATACACAGGGCAGGGTGTAATGCTCATTTCCCAATCCCCCTCTTCAGCACCGGGATTATGGCGCAGCTGGCTGAGTGTCAGCTGCATTAAGTTCACTCTGACCAAAAGGTCATGAGTTCAAAGCCAGCCCGGTTTGGAGTGGGTTTCCAACCAATTGTGTGTAGCCTGTTGTCGACCTTTGAAACCCGAAAGACAGTTGCATCTGTCAAGTAGGAAAATTAGGTACCATCTTTAAAAAGTGTGGGGAGGCTAAATTAACAGATTTATGAGGCCATAAAGAAGACTCCAGCAAAGCATTCCAGTGGGGAAGCATGTGGGGAATGCGAAAGTGCTTCATCAGCGACGCAGATGGATGATGAAAGCGACAACTCCCCTGGCGGCCAGAAAATGTTAAATAGCCTCTGTGTATATCTGTATATGTTTGTATGTCAAAAATTGGCATTTAATGTTTGCCATAAATGAGTCCCCAGCGGGGTGAGAAGGGCGGAATATAAAATCTGTAAATAAATAAAATAAATAAATATATTATCAATATAATATATAGAAATAAAATTGTAATGTAATAATACTAATATATTATATATAATAATGTAATATAATATATATTATATATACTACAACTTATGATATAGTACAATATATTATATAATAAAAAGAGCCACGGTGGCACAGCAAGTTAAACCGCTAAGCTGAACTCTGTGGGATGGGGTGAGCTCCCATTGTTAGCCTCAGCTTCTGCCAACATAGCAGTACAAAAACATGCAAAGATGAGTAGGTCAATAGGTAGCTCTGTGGTGGAAAGGTCATGGCACTCCAAGCAGTCACGCCGGCCACATGACCATGGAGGTATCTATGGACAACACCGGCACTTCGGCTTAGAAATGGAGATGAACACCACCTCCCAGAGTCAGACTTGACTAGACTTAATGTCAAGGGGAAAACTTTATTTTTACTATTTATTTATTTATTTACTGTATTTATTACCCGCTATTCTGGAGATGTCTCTGCCTTGGTCCTTTCACTATTGGCTGCTACTTCCCGGCGAATGTCAGGTGCTGCAATACCGCCTAAGCAGTGTAATTTCTCCAGTGGTGTAGGGCGCAGACACCCTGTGATAATGCGGCATGTCTCATTAAGAGCCACATCCACTGTTTTAGTGTGGTGAGATGTGTTCCACACTGGGCATGCATACTCAGCAGCAGAGTAGCACAGCGCAAGGGCAGATGTCTTCACTGTGTCTGGTTGTGATCCCCAGGTTGTGCCAGTCAGCTCTCGTATGATATTGTTTCCAGCACCCACTTTTTGCTTGATGTTCAGGCAGTGCTTCTTGTAGGTAAGAGCACGGTCCAGAGTGACTCCCAGGTATTTGGGTGCGCTGCAATGCTCCAGTGGGATTCCTTCCCAGGTGATCCTCAGAACTCGGGATGCTTGTCTGTTCTTGAGATGAAAGGCACATGTCTGTGTTTTAGATGGGTTGGGGATCAGCTGGTTTTCCCTGTAATAGGCAGTAAGAGCACCTAGAGCTTCGGAAAGCTTCTGTTCTACCATCTCAAAGCTCCCTGCTTGAGCAGTAATGGCACGATCATCAGCATAGATGAAACTCTCTGTCCCTTCTGGCAGTGGCTGGTCATTTGTGTAGATGTTGAACATGGATGGAGCAAGCACGCTCCCCTGAGGCAGACTGTTCTTCTGTTTCCGCCATCTGCTTCTCTGGCCCTGGGACTCAACAAAAAAGCTCCTGTTTTGTAGCAGGATTCCTATGAGGCAGGTGAGGTAGTAGTCCTTTGTGATATTATACATTTTTCTCAGGAGGAGGTGGTGGTTCACTGGGGGCTCTTAGTGATAGTATTTTTTATAATTATCATCATCACCATCTTCATTTCGACTCTACCTTTCTCCCCATGAGGGCTCAAGATGACTTACCATAAATTTAAAAACACTGCAAACACAAAAATTAGAAATAATTTAAAGAATTAAGTATTTTTTTTATCATGGATACATGTTAAATAAAATTAAGATACAATAAAAAATGCATACAATTAAAATTACACTTAAAACTAAATATATTTCCCAACTCCCACCCACAATCTCCCCAGCAGTGTGCCTTTCATTGGCACTACGGAAAAATATCACATCAGCATTTTAAATTATTCTCTGTTGGTGAGATGAAAGGCACATGTCTGTGTTTTGGATGGGTTGGGGATCAGCTGGTTTTCCCTGTAATAGGCAGTAAGAGCACCTAGAGCTTTGGAGAACTTCTGTTCAACCATCTCAAAGCTCCCTGCTTGAGCTTGTCAAATGTTGTTATATGATGATACGGAAAGGAGAAATTAACCTGGGAGATAACGTTAGTATGGTGGACACCCAGTAAAACAAATCCTCATTTCGAAGCTCCTGCGACGTCATCGCCTGACGAATGTTTATTGTAGAAAACCAGTAGCCAATGGCAGGAGGCGCCCGGGGTTGCTAGGAGACGGCTTCGGGCGCAAGCGAGTCCAAACAGAGTTCCCTTTCCAGCGGCCCCGCCCCTCTGGCACGTGCAGGGAGAAGGCGGGACGAGGGTTCCGTAGTAGCCAATGACAGGAGGGGTCCGGGGTTGCTAGGAGACGGGTGTATACGACGACCAAGGCTGGGAGGAGTTTCCTAAACGGAGAGTGCAATGGAGGCCGGGGCTTCCAAAGGGCCTTCTCGTCGCCCGACGACCCCTCAACATAAAGCCGAACTGGAAGTGAGGTGCAAAGGAATGGGGGTTCAGGGAGAGAAGGGGGCAAACCAACCGGGAAGTTGTGGGGTCTCCTTTTTGCATTCCTAGAGGCCATTTCCCTCATTATTTTTCCTAACAGTGGCACTTTTACGTTGGGCCTAAATGCCATAAAGCAGGCATGTGCAAACTTAGGCCTTCCAGGTGTTTTGGACTTTAACTCCCACAATTCCTAACAGCCTCAGGCCTCTTCCTTTTCCCCCTCAGCCGCTTAAACACCTGGAAGGCCTAAGTTTGCACATGCCTACCCTAAAGGCATCAGTTCCTAGCTGATCATGGAAGCTAAGCAGAGCCAACCCCGGATGGGAGACCACCAATGAATATTTGGTGCTTTAGGCCATATTTCAGAGGGAAGGAACTGGCAAAACCGCTTCTGAGTATTGTCGAAGGCTTTCATGGCTGGAATCACTAGGTTCTTGTGGGTTTTTTCGGGCTATAGGGCCATGTTCTAGAGGCATTTCTCCTGACGTTTCGCCTGCATCTATGGCAAGCATCCTCAGAGGTAGTGAGGTCTGTTGGAATTAGGACAATGGGTTTATATATCTGTGGAATGGCTGGGGTGGGTGAAGAGCTCTTCTCTGCTGGAGCTAGGTGTGAATGTTTCAACTGACCACCTTCATTAGCATTTGAAGGCCTGGCTGAGCCTGGGAAAATCTTTTGTTGAGAGGTGTTAAGATGTGCCTGGTTGTTCCCTCTCTGCTGTTTTGCTGTTGTAATTTTAGAGTTTTTTAATACTGGTAGCCAGATTTTGTTCATTTTCATGGTTTCCTCCTTTCTCTTGAAATTGTCCACAGGCTTGTGGATTTCAATGGCTTCTCTGTGTAGTCTGACATGGTGGTTGTGAGAGTGGTCCAGCATTTCTGTGTTCTCAAATAATATGCTGTGTCCAGGCTGGTTCATCAGGTGCTCTGCTATGGCTGACTTCTCTGGTTGAAGTAGTCTGCAGTGCCTTTCATGTTCAAGCATGTGGACAATTTCAACAGAAAGGAAGAGACCATGAAAATGAACAAAATCTGGCTACCAGTATTAAAAAACTCTAAAATTACAACAGCAAAACAGCAGAGAGGAAACAACCAGTCACATCTTAACACCTCTCAACAAAAGATTTTCCCAGGCTCAGCCAGGCCTTCAAATGTTAATGAAGGTGGTCAGTTGAAACATTCACACCTAGCTCCAGCAGAGAAGAGCTCTTTGCCCACCCCAGCCATTCCACAGATATATAAACCCATTGTCCTAATTCCAACAGACCTCACTACCTCTGAGGATGCTTGCCATAGATGCAGGCGAAACGTCAGGAGAAATGCCTCTAGAACATGGCCCTATAGCCCGAAAAAACCCACAAGAACCTACCACCTCTGAGTATTGCTTGCCTAAGAAAACCTTACCCTTCGTGGTAAGGGTAGACCATTCTGCCAAAACATATGCTACAAACTTCTTTTTTAAAAAAAAATGTATTTATAAATTTGTCCAACAAAATGTATAAGCATACATTCGTCTCTCTTTTTACAGTATCTTAGACAAAAGAGTATGTCATATCATATACAATCTAACAGTAAATAAACATCAAAAACATCTTTAATAATATTTATCATTATTTTTAAATTTCCATTACAATTTATGCTACATATAACTCTATCACACACCTTTTATCCACTTATACATATTATATTTCTTTATAATTATTATTATACCGTTTCCCCCCCCCCCCTTCCCCTTCCCCTTAGTTCCCCTCTTCCCCTTCCCCTTAGTTTGTGCTACAAACTTATTTCTCTCAAGGCGCATCTACACCAGGCATGGCAAACTCCATAGCGTTAATTCTATGCTGTGGATGGTACCCACTATCTTCCAGTTAGCCTCAGAGGTGCACACTTTACATAGTTGAAGGTTAATTTTTTTAAAAGTTTATTTATTAATGTTGCTTTTTAATACCTTTCCATCACTACCTCTGAGGATGCTTGCCATAGATGCAGGCAAAACGTCAGGAGAGAATGTCTCTAGACCATGGCCATACAGCCCGAAAAAACATACAACAACCCAGTGATTCTGGCCATGAAAGCCTTCGACAATACACTTTTCATCACTATTTACACTTGTTCCAGTTAGGTGCGGATATTCATAAACCTTTTGTATAATCATTTGTAAATCCTATTACACTTATTTTCATTTGATGCAATTACATCTAGTAATAATAATAACAATACTACTACTGCTGCTACTACTACTCTCCCTGAAGGGACTCAGGGCAGCTTACATGGGGACCAAGCCCAGTCAACATAGATAAAATATTTTAAAAATTGAACATACGTTGCCATAATTATTATGTTGAAAAATTAAAAAGTCTACACACAGCTGTGTTGACTATTATTTAATATGAACTGATCATAAACATTACTGTCTTTTGGGTTCGTCTACACTGTAGAATGACTGCAGTGTGACACAATGTTAACGCTACAGAATTCAGGGAATTGTAGTTTGATAAGGCACCAGCACTCTTTGGCAGAGAAGGCTAAAGACTGTATCAAACTACAACTCCCAGCATTCCATAGCACCTGAGCTGGCAATTAAAGTGTCTAACTGCATTAATGTTTCAGTATAGATGATTATCTGTTAAAAACATAGGTTTTCTGTGGCATTACAGAACACAAAGAGCTTTAAACTATCCAGTTTTCTATGATGAAAAAAAGCTGTACTTTTTTAATGTCATATAATTCTGCTGTTCTTATTTCTTTCTAAGATGGGTTCAGGGATTCACCAACAGGAATGTGGGCTTTGTTAACAACAGTACTATCTGTTACCCTTGTGGAAATTACATCATTTTCATTAATACTATAACACGGGACCGGACTCTCTTGAGATGCCACAGTGGATGCATAGGAGCCTTTGCAGTAAATGCAAACCAGCATGTAGTTGCATTTTCAGACCGGCTGTTAAATCCTGTCATCTCCATCTATAACTTTCCAGGATTAAAGAAAGTAGCTAAATTGACAGGTAGGTTTGACTGTATCCTCTTATTTAATAAACAAGGGTGACAAAACAAATATTAAATAAACTACAATCACAATCCTAGTAATTCTTTTTCAGATTTAGTCCCAGAAATAAATAAGATGAGATGTACTCTCAGGTAAAGTGTGGCAGAGATAGCAAATATCTGTGACATTCAGCTGGTAGAATTCAATGGCAAAAGGAGACTATCTCTCTTTCTTACCTCAATTTCCTTTGTGTGTGTGTCAGCATAGAATACAGGATGGGAAAGATTTTTCTGTAACCATATGCTGAATATTGGAGTTAGACCAATATATTTAGGTGCCTCTCTTGAGAGCAAAAAGTCAAGGTGTGATAGCACTATTTAGGCTTCTAGATAGCCCTATTCTTTAGATTTGTTTGCTCTGGACCTCAGACTGCTTGCTGTTACACACTGACGGTCATCTAGGCTAAAAAGGAAGAACACAGGTTTTCCCATCCCTTACACCCTTTTGTGCGGGTAAAGAGATATATCATCACTTTTGAGAAGATATGTTAAATATTATAGGAAACACAGCAAAATTCTAGCCTGATATTCTAAAAAAAGAAATAAAGTTTACATTATATTATATTTTAGGACCAGCCAGCTTGGACTACACCTTACTTGCTTTCAGTTATGGAAGTCCTTACCTGGCTAGTTATTCCTCACTTCCAGAATTTTCTCTTTCAATATGGTAAGTGTTGGGCACATTGTTTAAGTATGGACAAGTATATATTCCTTCATATTGCTTACAAATTCATAGCTGATTTGATCCCTTAGAACAATACCACAAACATTAATGTATGCATATAAAGATACAGATGCTTATTTTCCATATGCACACTTGTGTTTCAAAAACAATTGTAGCAATTCTAAGGCAAAATTCACACAATATATTTTTTCCAATATTGCCCAATCATTCCTTCATGGCAGCACAAAACATTTTCGCATCTGAACAACAATCCCTCTGTTAAGAAACCAGAAAAAAGGATTTAAAGTTGGCTTCCAGATCCAGAGATGTAACAAACCAAGGCCCTTCTTCACATGTAACATAACACTTATAGTAGTTTAGCTGTTCTAATTTGCACATTGGTTTGTAGCGTTTCTGCCTCTTACATTATAAATATATAATAGGACTTTTGTGAAAAACATTAGTGCCACAGATCCCTCCTGTTTGTGTGGAGCCAAAGCTATTACAGAGGCCTTTGGTATTGAAAATGTTTCCAAGCAAATACAGTATTTCTATGCATTTGTCCAAGTCACTGCTTTCTAGTTACTCTTTTCCTAATAACCCACAGATTAGATTCACTCACTCACAAGTAGTCTAGTCTTTTATAAATTTGCTTATCTACTACAGTACAAAACTAGAAATATGATTTCAAAGTTCACCACATTCATATTGTTGACTCATCTAAAATTTTAAAATTAATGGCAATAAAAATATATTCCTGCAATTTTTTAAGAAGGCATTTGAAGCTGATGAGTTCCAGCAGGCTGATTCTTGGAACCAGTTGACCTCTTTTTAGATGCTTTGTTTGTAGTTAATACTTTGTTGCAAGATTTTTTGTTGATAACTGTTCTTTGTTTTGCCTATATGTTATATGATATGTAATTTGTTTTATGTTTTTAATTATCTCAATTTTTAAAAAATAGATATAATAATAATTATTATACTAATATACTTTATTTATATTCCTCTCTATCTCTCCGAGGGGACTCGGAGCAGATTACAGAGTACATATAGGGCAAACATTCAATGCTGTTATACAATTGACGACGACAACAGTGATTGGGCTAAACATATAATTATTCAAAACATAGTAATACTTGCTGTCTTCTCCTGTGGATTAGGGACTGGCAGAAAAAAGTTCTCTTGTGCAGTCAGTCACAACCAGGAGTAGAAGTTACTGCAATGAGTTTTAATCCCATGAGCTGGCACCAGTTGTGTTTGTATAGTGGGACTTCTGTTACCCTTTGGATTGTTGAAAGAAATAACGAAGAGCACGTTCTGAAGTCAAAGTAAGCATATGTGCTGTGTTTCACACATTACAAAAAAGATGCTTTAATCCTAACTATTCCCTGTCTTTGAAAGTAAACTCCCCTGCTTGTAACCAGTATTTTCTAAAGTCCTTCCACATCATTTTTCTCCTTGCTCCAGGCCAGTCAAGCTTCCAGCTGAAGATGGCACTTTAATAGATGAACAAAACACCTTCTTCACCCATCCCAGTGTCAGTGATTCTTATTTTGGCCCGTTGCTGCCCAATTCGGCAATTGCTGGTTTAGTAGGCGATGAAGCAGAAACATTTCGGGTGAGCAATGCTGTCCAATTAATTACAGGCAGTCCCCGGGTTATGAACAAGATTGGTTCTATAGGTTTCATTTTATGCTGAATGTGTATGTAAATTGGAACAGAAATATTTTTAAAGTGTAACTCTAGCCATTTTTAAAAGTTTTGGATAGCATAGGGAAGAGATAATACCCTTGTAACATCTGCTTTCTGTCTGTGCCCCAGTTCAGGAGATTTTGCCTCACTTTCTGCCTCTGTGAGAATTGGATTTTGAAAATTTGGGTTGCTGTGGAAACAAGGATTGATGAAAAAGCTTCAGTAGAGACACCTTTCCCCATGATAACTCTTCGATATGTGAATTTCCCTTCCTAAGGGTAGATTGTCTCTCACCACCTGTTGTCTCACCAGTTGTAGCTAGAAGTCATATGGATATCTGTAACTCAGGGACTGCCTGTACTTGAATCTAGGGACTTTACTGTAGTGATACTGATGTAAGATGTCATAGCGTATACATTGATTGAGTATAAGTACTTTTCTCAGCAAAATGTGAGCAGTTGCAGATAGTGCTAGACAGTACTAAAAAGAGAATGCAAAAAACCTGAGGGATGTGGATATCATGATTTTAAAAAAGTATTATCTTGGAGGAGATGGAAATTTCCAGATGTCTTCTTATGGAAGCAAAGAAGTTAAAATAAATATATGAATGGCACATATGGTTTCCAGCTCCATATGTATCTTCAGTGGAAGAGGTTATAGATTGTTTTAGAATTCAGTTTAAGCACAAAGGAGACATGTAGTTAAGAAGTACATTCACATCCTTTTTAACTGTTCTGACCCATTCCTTTTCCATGCCCTAACAAATAGACATGAAAAGTAGGCAGGATTTTTTCTTTTAATATTGATGGTTGTTGGGTAATTCCATGCTTATGTTGCTGTTAGTGTTATTTTTTGTTCATGTTGTGACTCTGTATGTTTTGATGTTGTTGCTTGGAAACCGCCCTGAGTCTCCCCTGTATATAAATAAAGTTATTATTATTATTATTATTATTATTATTACACAATAAGTAGAAATGAGATGCCCAACTCACTGGACTACTAGCTTGAGATGGGTGTGAAGAGCCTCACCTTGTGGCCTCTGGTAAGGCATGCTTTGTCCCAGCTGGTATACTGGTCAGCCTATTGGCTACTCATGGTGTTGCCAGCCAATCTTGTATCTACATTTCCAATGGGGGAATTTTTAGGAAAATGTTAGCAGCATATGCTCCAAGTAATTTCTCGCCATTCAAACAAACGGATTTGTCCTGAATGGGGAGAATGGAAAATTGAATAAACAAAACTGATTTCATCTAAATCTTGTCATTTTCCACCCAATTGAAGCCCAAAGATGATATTCAACCTTGTGTTCACCCTACTGCCCACTGCTGGACTCCATCCTTTGACCTGTATATGGGCTGCGAAGAAGGATTCTTCTTGAAAATTGCTGCTGATACATTCAAAGCTGCTATTATCAACCCCAAACCTTCAACAGATGATAAAGGTGAGAATCAACTTCCAGCTAAATATTTTTCCAAGCTTCTTTCAAGTCAATGGGATTATGGCACCATTTATGGTATGTGTGTGCTTGTGCACGTGTGTGTGTATATGTACGTATGTAAGAAAGCAGCTACATTTTTAAGGAATGTCTAGATGTGATCATTTGACTTGTTCCATACACAGAATCACTAGTGTTCTAAATCAATGTTTCCCAAGTTGTCTAATGTGAGATACTGGCAATTGTTGTTTTCCACCAAACCAGAGATCAGCTCATTAGATACAATATTTTACACTGAGCATGCAATGTTTTCCACCAAGCCAGAGATCAGCCCATTGCATACCAAGAACCATTGCTTTGAGTAGTACTGTTCTAAGTTTTGGAAAAAGGAAATCTCTATAACCTTTTGGAGATTTTATGATCTTTGGAAAGGCATGACCTTGTTAGAAGTCATAGCCTTTAAAAAAACGATGCCATAACCTCTTGGTAAAAGCATTATGTATTAGAGTCATAACCTTTTAAGAAAGTGACATTCATGCAAGACAATTAGGTTTCTCAGCTGTTAAACTGATGTACCTAGATATGTCTTTGAAGATATGCCAATGCACACACACATATATATTCAGCAGAGTTTCAGAAGTGTTCTTTTTAGTTGCACAAAACATCTACTCTCCCTTAAAATATATTTGCCTTTAAATCATGCCCTCAAGAGACAAAAATAAGTAGACTTCTTTAAAAGTAACATGGTTGGTTTACTCACAAACTTCACCATACAGGTACTTTGCATATCAATCCAGTTACAGATAGGATTTGAAGTAGTTTCTCTGTGTAGGTAACATAGGGCATCATTCTTATAATCAGCAGTACAAAGTCCAAAACATCTCTCTGTTCTGAGAGCCTAGTAGAGTCTCTGTCTAGTCTGAAATTCTAATTCTAATAATCTAAGCATACTGTTCCTTCTGAAATCTATAGCATACAGTTCTTGGTGTCTTCTTAAAAGCATACTGTTCTAAAATGGAGTCTGAGTCCTGAACAAGCCCAGACCTGATCACATGGTTTGCAGCCCCTCCCATAACAAAGAGTTAAGGTGGAATTGCATACCAATATATACACATATACACACACCTTTACAATATAGTAAACAATCTGAATTATATACATAGCAAATAACTAGTGGAGGCTTGAAGAAGGTTGCTATTGCCAACAGTAAGTAATTAAACAAGTCTCAATACAAGATATGTATACAAATAACACAACTCATAGATTGCTGTTTTAAAGAGAGTAACTAGTTAAAACTACATCTCTGAATATTAATAAGTATTTTGAGCCCTCATAAGTTTTGGAAACTGAAATGGTGTCCCAGAATGGGATGAGGCTGAGACATCTACTCTGAAATATAAAAGGGATCTTGACATACACTGAGATTTGGTTCCAGGACCACCCATGGATATCAAAATCTGAACTCACAACAAATGTCATAATCAGAAATGTTATCACTGATCCACCAGTTTTTGTCAGAATGTGCAGAATGTAACATTTACAGAATCTTTAGTATTGTTAATTAGTAATATAATAAGTGAAAGTATTTATTTATTTATTTACTTCATTTAGATGCTGCCCTTCTCACCCTGAAGAATCAGTCAGAAAGTATCCCAGTCAATACTGGGCAGATGGAGGTGTTTTGTTAATAGTATAAAAACTACTTCCCATTTGCTATCATATTGCTTGCATTGGATATTACTTCTTATATTAGAAGTGCTGTTAGGGGTCTGTAATCTCCATCTTACCAATGTAGAGATTGTCAGGATAGCTGGGGTCTGATGCGGCTATAGGAGTTCCCGGGACTGTATTTAAATTCTAATATATGTTGATTTTGTTTACATGTACAAGTAGATTTGTGCAATAGAAAACCAATGTTTATTTTTATTTACATTACCGTATATCAGGTTCTAGCAGAGATGTCAATAAATAATGTCGGTCACAATTGAACTAATCTTACTTCCTTTACAGTAAAAAAACGGACAACTTTTCGATCACTCTCACATGCTTCAATTAAACCTCAAGGTATTTACCTTGTAGTATTAACTGCTTTTGTTGAAAACACTTGCACTTCAGGAAATTATAGTATTATTGTTCATAGACCTTATTGTCAGATAGAAAACAGAAAGTTAAAAAGACTTATAAAATGAGAAAACCATGTTTTTCCAAGTATCTTCCCCAGAAAATTGGTCAGCATTAATATGTCAGTTTGAAAGCCAAGAAAATTAGCTTTTCCAGATAGACTTTCCTCTTACTGTAATTTTATTATTACTATTAGGTTTTTTTTTTTATTTCCAAAAAAATAAGTTCACAGAAAAAAACATTTGTAGATCCAAATACAATGTAAGAACAGTAGCGAGAGAGAGGCGGGGAAAGAGAGAACGAGAGAAATAAATTCTCCCCCACTATGAAGGGATGAGACTACGAATATACATCTGTGGAAACATCACTAGCAGCTGTGTACAAAGGAGACAGCTTGTGGCAGCAAAATACTGATATTGTTAACAATAGAAATGTGCCACTTTGACCTTGTTTTACAGCAAGGAAAAAACTGGAGCCCTTCTTGTATCTTTCTTCTCATCCTCCCTGTTCCATTCTATTCAGTTTCTCGTCCTCCCGGTTCCATTTTCCAACATCATAAAGAAGATGGCTATGATATTTTTCTCTTCTTTTTTTTTTTTTTTTGGTTTTTTTTTTCTCTGGGTACATTTATAATCCACTGCCTCATCAGTAAGTCTAAGGCACCTTCTGCACTGCCCTATATCCCAGGATCTGATCCCAGATCTCTCATTTAAACTGGATTATATGAGCCATAAAGCAAGATTATCAAAGGAAATAATCCACATTATCTGCCTTGAAGTGGATTATCTTAGTCTACACTGCCATATAACCCAGTTCAAAGCAGATAATCTGGATTTTATCTGGCAACAGAAGAGACCTGAGAGACCTTCAACAGAGCCCTATATCCCAAAATATCAAGGCAGGAAATGCCACGCTATCTTAGTGTGGACTCAGATAACCCAGTTCAAAGCAGATATTTTGGGCTGTGTGGAAGGGCCCTGAGTGTTAAAAATGCAGGATTCAAGTCTGCAAAGGTGCAGAGACAAATAAAATACAGGGCTCCCTGGATTTCTCAATGAACAAATATTGGTTTACATGTGTTATGTAATTCAAAACAAATACCTAAGTTTGATGGCCTGTATAGAGTAGTCTTCAAGTCATTTTCAACTTATAATGACCCTTTTGTGGGATTTTCTTGGCAAGATGTAAGAGGTTTGCCTTTGCCTTTCTATAAGACTGAAAGAGTATGATTTACCCAAGATAACTTAATGGGTTTCAAAGATGGGTACCTTTATGTCCCTTTTTGCTTTGGTTTTTTTTTTTTTACAAAAGAATGTTGTCTTAAAATATTACCACTTGAATTTTGTATTACAAGTGATAATAAGTTGAAAGGCAATAATGCCACTACGTCCCCCATTAGTACCATTGAGCTATCTAAGAAAAAGAAATCTGTAGAATAATCTTTGTGAATGATATTCTCTTCATCAAATGCTACTAGATTCCTCTATCTCTTTCTCTGCTAAAATAAACTAATATTTCTATCTCTTTGAAAAATATTTATCAATCATTTCCATAGGCACTGTAAAGAAGGAAGCTCAAAATGTGGTCCTCCTCGCCATGGCACTACATAAAGATGGGCTGTATGCAGCTGGACATGTAAGATGCCTCCAGTAGAGTCCTCTAGCCTTCTGAAGTTTTTTAAATTTTAATTTCTTAATCTCTCCATTGACGAAAAATTGATCTTGATTCATAGCACTTTGTAGAGATTGTTTTTTGAGAACCAATGCTTAATGGAAGATAAAGATGTCACAATTCTGACATAGTTATTAATAATGGTTAAATATTAAGTAATGGGATGAAAGGATTGTTTATTACACATTACCAGAATATCATATAGTTCATTTCCCTGGGTCTGAAACATACGATATATCCCCTAAATCCCTATTCATGCCATATAGATTATGTCAGAAACAAGCAAAGACCAGGAATACAAATACATATGAACAAATGCCTTCAATGAATCAACATTTTGCTAGGGTGATCCACATTTGCGACCGATAAAGATTGTTTCTGTAACTTGATTAAATTTTTGCAGATTACTCAAATGTGCATCTTTGTTCATTCTCAATACTGGATTGTTCGTGTATTTGAATTGTGTTATTACTTATCAAGTGTATATTTTTTTCTAAAGTTTGAAAAGATACGATAGGCCATGTCTACTGGTATATGATCTGTCAAATGTGAAATGAAATGAATGGAGAAAAAGGAGGAGAACAAGCAAGGTTTAAATCATAATTCACAAAGACAAATAATCTGGAACATGGCCATACAGCCTGGAATACTCACAGCAATCCACAAATCATCTCAGTAGTGTCGTCTGATCTAGAAGGAAAAGCTGCCATCAATACATGCACAACCTTCTCCACAGCTTTTTCATTTCAATGACAAATCAAGATGGCATGACTAAAATGGCCAAGCAGAAAAGTCTTAGAATTCCCATAATGCAATTTTCGTGCCAAATGCAGACAGAGAAGCTGGTTGCAGATCTGTATTGGTCCAAGGACCAAACTTGTAGAGACACTTGAAATCTGTGACTGGATGGATTTGGCTCCAAGCAGTCTCTAAAATCTTTAAAAGTCATTATGGCAATTGATATAGAGGCAGTCACAGTGATTATTCAGTTTTTCGTTTGCCTAGGATGGTTTTGTACGTTGTTACAGAATAAAAGGCACAACATTTGATATGGAAGACTGCCTGGAAATGAATGAGCCTATTACAAATCTTGTCTTCTCCCCTGATTACGTTTATCTATTAGTAGAAACAGAAAAGGTAAGTTGCATAAGGCAAAAGTATGCTAAATTACTAAATTTTCTATTTCCTACTATTGTTTCATGTACATAATGAAGAGAGTAGGGGAAATAAAAGTGGTCTGACTGTGGGTGGTTAGCCTTATTCTAATCTTTTGGGGAAGAAGGTACTTACACTGACCCAGGTTATTTGGGATGATTTTGTTGAATAACATTTTTAGACTTGTATATGGTAGCTGGAGCCCCCAGTGCACAGCGGGTTAAACCGCTGAGCTGCTGAACTTGCTGACCAAAAGGTTGGTGGTTCGAATCCAGGGAGTGGGGTGAGCTCTTGCTGTTAGGCCCAGCTTCTGCCAACCTAGCAGTTCAAAAACATGCAAAATGTGAGTACATCAACAGGTACTGCTTTGGCGGGAAGGTAATGGCGCTCCATGCAGTCATTCCGGTCACATGACCTAGGAGGTGTCTATGGACAATGCCAACTCTTCAACTTGGAAATAGAGATGAGCACCACCCCCCAGAGTCAGACACAACTAGACTTAATGTCAAGGAGAAACCTTTCGCTATAGGGTAGTTACATTTAAATGGAATTGTGCATTAATAGGCCATAATTGATTTATATTATCTCCTTTAAAACAAGTCACTTTTAGATCAAAGAGATATTTAAAATCAGAGGCTCCATCTACATTGCTAGATAATCTAGTTTCTGATCCCAAATTATCTTCTTATTCCAGATTATATGACAGTGCAGACGTGTATAATCCAGTTCAAAGCAGATAATCTGGGATCAGATTCTGGATTATATGGCAGCGTAGATCCAGCCTGAGAGTGGTGCTAGTAATTATTTTAATAAACAAATGTTCAGAAACTGTATGTGGAATACTTTATCTTTTTCCCAGTTTCTTTTTTTTTAATACAATTTTTATTGATCAAATATACAAAATAGGGAGGGGTAAAGCAATGGATATAGAACAGGGATTTTTTTTTAAAAAAAAATCTTATATGATTGGCTTATTCCACCAGTTTGTAAAACAAAAAAGGTTAATATGGTGTTTTTAAAAAGGAAAAGGTCTTTAAAAGAGAATAGAAAAATGTGTATAAAGTATGTAGAAACATAGACGATAATAAGGTTAAGAAAAAGAAAACAGAAAACCCTATCTAACATTTTCTGCCCTAACACTGTTGTCTTCTTTATAATCTAAATAATCTATCTTTTTTGTCTTGCATCTTCTTTCTTCTCGTAGATTAACTTTTCAGGATCCCTTGGATGTCATCGGGGATCCTGCTATTCTCGTAATTAACTCCATTTTTTTTCCTTTTCTTGTTAATTATACATCTCGGGGGGGGGGGGGGGGGGGGGGGGGGGGGGGGGGGCTTGGGGGGCTTCAGCCCCCCCCCCCGAAATTCTCATGGTGGTCCACGAAAAGGCCTTACTGGTACATTATTTAAACTGTTATGTTTATTCATATCATGATCTGATCACCATACTCAATATATCCCATATGCATGGGGGCTATTGGGGTAATGATACAAAAGGTTTGCTAGGCTAGACCCTCTTTCACTCAGACTCAGCCCCCCCCCCCCCCCCATCAAACTCAGCTCCCACCGAAACAAAATCCTGGCTATGGGCCTGGTAGTAGTGATTATCTCTTATCATCATGTCAAACCCAGTGTTTTTATTTTCTTCTCTTCTTTTAAAAATCAATAAATTGCTGCCACACTTCCTCTGTTAGTAGTTAAATGATGCTATTAATTGCTTGTAACCAAAACTAGATTATTACAGTATTCGATTTCTTCTTCAAATTTGGGAGGGTTTGGCAATTGTATAAACCTGGTCAATTTTTCCATTTCTGCCAGGTCCCTCATTTTTGTAATCCATAAATCTTGAGTGGGAATTTCTTCTTGTTTCCAATAATCACAAATAATGAAAAACTCTTCTCCTCCTTATCTTTTTGATAACATCTTACTTTCATTTAACAGGGATCAATCTGTGTCTTTAATCCTAATGATAATGAAGATATTAGTCTATTATTGGATGCAAGTATAAATCACTTTGTAGCAGCTGATTTTATTGTTCCAGGAACAAAGCACTGTGTGGTAAGGAATTCTCATTTTTATTACATCTGAAAGGCCAACCTAATATGAACCTATCAGAAATTGAAGTTCATCAGCAGAGACCCCTTTATGCATTCTAATGCCCTGCTAGACTAGGCAGGTGGATGTATACGAGAGACTTTCCCTGTGGTAACATCCCAAGGTGCATCTACACTGTAGAATTAATATAGTTTGACACCACTTAACTATTATGGCTCAATGCTATAGAAGAGTGGTTCCAAACCTTCTTTTTTTTTTTTTTACCAGGAACCACTTGACCAGGAACCAATCTCCAACATTAGTACCAAAAGGGTTATGAATCAGGTTTTGGTCAACTTTAGTTTCAATTTGGTTATTTGGGTGCTAATTCAGAAAATTGCATTGGATAGACCACATCAGCTCTAGCTTCTGATATAGAACATATGCCATCTAGTAGTCGCTATCTGCTCGCCTACAGAAAACCATATTTAATACGTCTTGGCACTATAAGAGGGTTTTGCAAGACCAGTTGCTCTCGTTGCAATGGTGTGTAGTAACGGTGAGGCCATATCATGAGCTGTCCTAGACTCGTATTAGATAGTTTAAAAGCAAATAGCTACTATGATTTTAAAAGCAAAGTGAATGTGTGGACAAAGGAATCAATCCCTCCTTCCACTTTTAGCATACCATTTTTCAACTCTTGTTCTACAGACTTCACCACCATTTCATCTAGTTTGGTTCTTCGGGAAAGTCATATAAAGTAAACAGAGTGCACACAAACATGACTCATGCATCAAATCACCAGTCTGCTTTATATTTAATTACAATTCCTCCCTTTGTTTCCTACTTATAGCATGTCCCCATCTTTTTATTGTAGTCTGCTGCAGAATCAGGAGAGCTGCATGTTTGGCAGGTGGAGGACGGTGCTTTTGTCAGCAAGCTGTGTCTACATACTTTGGTATGCTCAAATGCCAACTGAGTTCATAATCCATGAGATGTTTTTATTAATATATATGCAATTGCAAATTGATTGATATTGTATAGAATAAGAAATATAAAGCACCATATTTTATATTTAATAGACTCACAAATTAATATTTTACTTTATGCATTGTTGAGGATGAGGAGGGAAATTGATTTTGGAAACCCAACCACAGAGGAGTTGTTCTTTCAAAAATTCCAATAACTGTTGTCATGCTAAAATAATTTTCCATTTCATTTATTTTCTCCCAAGGTGACTGCAATGGCCTGTAGTCTTACCTCTCACAGTGTTGCAGTGGGAACTAAAAGTGGCCATGTTTATTTCATAGATGTTAGTGAAGTTGAAACTCCTAGGGTGGTTCACCGAGTTCTCCTTTCTGAGGTTCCTGTGCAGTTTTTGCAGTAAGTAGTTCTTGGCAAATAAGAAAATGATCATAAGAACAAGCAGGGTGGCTTAGGGTAGAATTTCTGGATCTTTGATATACCCAAGGAGGCAGCTCCCAGAATCAGGACATCAAGACTTTTTGGGGCACTGCCCTTCCCAGGCTTCGCATCTTCATCATAAGTGAAAGAGTGTAAAGCACACATGTCAAATTCAAGGCCTGTGGCTCAAATCTGACCAACTATGCCATTTTATGTGGCCCTCCAGATGCTGAACTACAACTCCCATACTCCTCATCATTCGACCTCTTGACTAGAGCTGATGGCAGTTGTATTACAGTAACATCTGAAAGGCTTCTGTTTGCTTTCTTTAATCAGGAGAGTGAGGTTTTGAATTTAGATACAAGGCTTGTGGATATCATGTCTGACTTTAAAATGACCCTTACCCTTTCCCCAACCTCAGAGCCACAAGTGCTGTTGGGCTGCCATTCCCATTATCCCAAATCTATATGGTGGATACTCCAAAGTGATGGGTGTTGTCTTTCAGTAACATCTGTGGACTACAACTGGATTAAAACTAAAGAGCACTGAACACTATTTAAAAAATAGTTGGCTGTTTGTATCCATGGATTCTCCATCCATGGAGTCAACATCTCTTTGGAGGCAACCATCAGGTTGATATGTCCCTCAGGGAAAATGAGTTTGACATCTCTGCTGTATAGGGATAGCTCTTGGGCTAGTGTCTGGCACTTTGTCATCATCTTTCATTCATGTCCCATATGATGCATTGCCAGTTGTGAGTTGTCTCTGCTTGATACTTCAAAGCATGGCACTTCAACATTTTGCAAGGTTGCATACTCCGTTGCCCTGTTCACCATTTCAACAAATTGTTTTTCAACCCCGAGAAGTTAACTTCATCCTCTTCAGGTTCTTTTTGTTTATGATTACCTTTTTCTTTCTGTTTTTTCCTCCTTCATCTCTTTTCATTTTGTTGACCCTTGTGGCCCCAGAGAGTCCTAGAACAGGAAGAAAGCTCCTTCTGTCCCTCTGGTTCCCAAATCCCAACAGATAGGAAGAAAGAGATAAATCTCTCCAACACTGCAAAATGAGATATGTCTGTGGAGGGATCGGATATAAATGTGGGCATGAGCATATGATCTTGGTTTCCAAACTGAGATCAGATGCCATCCTAAGGGCTGAAAAGATTATGCACTCCTGACTTAGATTATCAGTGGTAGACTGATATGAAACTGAAAAAAAAATGCCTCAACTTGCACTAACTACAGATCTAAGTAAATTAAGTTCAAAATTCCCATAGGATTGTTGTGATCATTAACTATTGTTGCTGGTTGCCATGTTTCAAGTCATGAATTGTACATTTTGATGTACTTCCTTTCTTTTCTCTTTCCAAGCTATGAACAAAGCGGTCAGTTTCTCATAGCTTCTACGACAAAAGGACATATCTTTATTTTAAATGCTTTTCCCTCAAAAAATTTTGAAATCCTTGGATGTGTAGGTAAGAAATAAAACCTGATGAGTATTTATTTCCTGTATATTTCAAATGGTAATAGATATGATTTCTGGTGTGCATTTAAAGCACAAAAAGGCTCTCTAGAAGCCAAACAATTTTATTAAAGAATGTTATTTTTTCTTAAAAACAAGAGAAAGTGTCATCTAGTCCATGAATTCCTTCTTTTTCTCTCTCTCTCACACTCACAGTTTCTCTACAACACATGCAATTTAGCACAAATACCTGCCATCCATTCATGTCATTGGAGATTTGCAGTGGGTAGATGTGTACTCAAATTGTTTTTCCTTCTTATGTAATTTAGCCCACCTGACTGCACAATGACTGTTTAGAAGGCTAGTGGAAGATTACAAGAGGAGGCAGAATATTACCTAGGGTTTATCAGTATGCAAAGGGATCTTGTAGCACCTTAGAGACTGTGAGAAAGAATTTGGCAACATAAGCTTTTGTGGATGAACTCTACTTCCTCAAATATTTCAGGTTAACACAGCCATGTCTTTGTCTAATTTATATACATATCCACTGAAGCAAAATGGTTTTTTAAAATAATTTTATTGAGTACATAGTAGCACCGTTTGTGATTAGATAATAAATATCTATTGTGTGCATACATTGTAAATATTAGAGCTTCCAGTGGTGCAGCAGGTTAAACCGCTGAGCTGCTGAATTTGCTGACCAAAAGGTCGGGGGTTCAAATCCAGGGAGCAGGATGAGCTTCCACTGTTAGCCCAGCTTCTGCCAACCTAGCAGTTTGAAAACATGCAAATGTGAGTAGATCAATAGGTAATGCTTCAGCAGGAAGGCAACGGCACTCCATGCAGTCATGATGGCCACATGACCTTGGAGACGTCTATGGCCAATGCTGGCTCTTTGGCTTAGAAATGGAGATGAGCATCACCCCTCAGAGTAGGATACAACTAGACTTAATGTCAAGGGAAACCTTTACCTTTTATTGTAAATATTGAAGTATTTTTACATTATCTATTCACCTTCTTTAATTCTTCTCATCTTATTTTTCTCCCCCGCCCCCCACCCTCCCTTCCCCACCACATTTTTCTCTATATCTTTATCTTGACTTTGTACAATCTCTGTACTAGCTTCACCACCTTCTACGCATTTAATATAAATCATTTCTCTTTAATATCTTCTATTTTTTCCTCCTGTGTATCTTCTGGGACTATACATGCTATAATGTCCGATTGGACTTGCTCAAATCAATAGTTATTCTAATTTTCCAAATTCCATTTTGTTTCATCTCTCCATCCCCAGGCTGCTACTGCTTTCCTTGCTAAGATCATTGCTTTAAATAAATCTTGATTCTGCGCAACAATGTTTTTGTTTCCTATTATTGTAATTAACATGAACTCCATGTTTACCTGGATTGGTATTTTGAAATTTCTCAATTTTTTAAATTACTGAGGGTACTTAATTTTTTTGTATTGTTACTTCCAAATATTTTATTTTTTAGAGAAATAAATGTTGTGTCTGACTAGTACCTGAGTGAGAGACTGCTTGGGAATCTTATGCATATTTTCATGAATTTCATACCAGAAGGTACCGAAGATACAGTTATAACCTACTAATTAAAGTTTAATAAATTATGTCTGTAGTTAAAACTTTCTGGTAACCTTAATATGTTAGACATTAATAGAAGGAAGCATGTTTTGTAATGGTTTGCTTGAACTGAAATGTTGACATTTTTCATTATAGCATTGAACAATGAGATTATTGACCTAACCTCAGTCTACAATGCAGAGGATACAACTGAAGTAATTGCACTCCTTTGTCCACCAGAGACCAAAAGGGCAAGAATTGAAATATTTAATCTTCAGTCAAAAATTGCTTTGGGTAACATGAAGTATTGTATGAAGTTCTATTACTGTTATGTCTTATACTAGCATTTATTTAAAGAATCATATGGACTAATAGCAAAATTATTATCAAAGTGTAAGATGTTACGTTACCACATTGTTACCATCCATGCACTAGGAGAAGCACTCTTAGTGTTCAGGAAATTTCAGGTTCAGTACCAGATGGCAGGTTAATTGTGGACTGTCAACAAATATTATGTGCTGCATGCTGTTTTTCATATGATCAATCTGGCAACACATGAAAAACATCAAGATTTGGTCTAAGAAAACACTACAAAATTATTGGTATGCAACCTGAAAGCACATATAAGCAAATGCTGAAAATTCTACAACAAAAACTTTGACCAAACATGGAGTGAGAAATGTCAGTTGTTTAACTGGATTAAGGAAAGAAAGAAGCACTGGAGATCATATTGCAAACATATGTTGTATAATGGAGCACATAAAAAATTTGAAGAAAAATCAGCCATATAGGTTATAGCAAAGACTTTGGTTCTATAGCTCGCGAAAAGCAATGGATTGCTCTTAGAAATGTATGGGGCAGAACATTTAATTGTTTTGATGAATAACCTGAACTGAGAATAAGAAGCTGTCATTAGGACAGAATACAGAGAAAGGGAATAGTTTCCAATTATCAAGGGAGGTCAGATAAGGTTTTATCACCCTATCTGTTTAATGTGTATGATTTGAGTGTCATATAAAGCAGGATTAGACAGAAAATTGAAAGAAGGAGCAACAATCATATAAGTTATACAGATGACATCATACTGCTAGGAGAAATTAGCAAAAACTTAGAACTATTGTTGAAGAAAATAAAGAAGAAAGTGCATTGTCAGGTTCACAATTGAACATTAAGAGAAAAAAACAACAACTACAGATTATTTATTTAACAATGAAGTCGGAGATTAAGACATTGAAATTGTTCAGCATTTTCTATAGTACCTTGGCTCAGTCATTAATCAGAATTGAGACCAGTCAAGAAATCAAAAGAAGATTAAAACTTGAAAGAGCATCTGTGAACAAATGAAAGCACAAATGTATATAATTGAATACCACAGTTAGGATTGTTTGTTGGTGGAATCATATTCCCCATTTCTATGTATGAGAATGAAAGGTGGACAGTGACAAAAGCTGATAGGGAAAAAAATTAACTCACTTGAAATGTTCTGCTGGAGAAGAGTTCTATAGATACCGGGGATTCATCAAACAAAAAAACTGGTCTAATCAAGCTGAACTCTCCTAAGAAGCCATCATGACTAAACTGAGATTATCATACTTTGGATGCATCATAAGAAGACATGGCTCACTATAAAAAAATGATGTTTGTTAAAGTAGAAGGCAATAGGAAAAGAGGGCCATGGTCCAGATGGATAGTCTCCATCAGAAGAGCTATGACCCTGAGTTTGCAGGACCTGAATAGGGCTGTTCCGGATAGAGTGACTTGGAAGTCTCTCATCATAGGATCACCATAAGTCAAGGGTGACTTGACTGCAGTTAACAATAAACATGAAAGAGACAATAGTCTTAAGAGAGGGGAAAACACAAAACAGCTGAGTGAGGACTAAGAATGCTCAGTGAAAAATAGTGTAATTCCAGGTTTTTTTTCTAATTTTGTAATTCAGTGTTGTTTCATTACTGGGTTATCTCAGTCAGTTTAGATAAACTAGAACCTTAGAACAAGGAAACAAAATAAAAAGATAACTATGGCGTAGTTCAATTTACCTCTAATTCCATATATCAGCACTAAGCATTTACATATCTGCCAAGTCTAAACAACACAAAGAAGGACAAGGAGTGGAAAATGGCACACAGATCTACTCACTTTCTGATTTTGGTCCAAAGCTGTTCATTTGAAAATATCTCATTTGTTCTTCAGTTGCTCAAGCTTTAGATAATGAGAGTTTGCCTATTGGTACATTCATAGAGACAACTCTGAGGACACACCATGAATAAAAACACTCGAGTTGGAATTAGATGCTTGGTAGAAGCCAGATTCTGGGGACTTAACATTTACTTGTGTTCACAACTAATTTCTTTAGAAATAAAAAATAAGGCAAAACCTTCAACCATGGAAGTAACTCTCCCCCTCCCCTCTCTCTCCTGTGATTTTTTTTTTTCAATCTGCAGAAAATGAAGAATGTATCACAGAAAGAGGGATGTTGAAAGATAACATAATTCAGAAACATGCATATGGTTTAGAGTTCCCTCTATCTTCTGCGGTCAAGAGGAGGGATGACACAGTGTTAGCCTGTACTAGCCAAGTACCTTTCATCCTTAGATACAATCTTACTACAAAGGTATTATCCTGTTGGACCAGGAAACCATTGATAAAATATTAGGCTAAATTAAATCGATTGTATAGAGACCTCATGGGCCATCCAGTCCAACTCCCTGCCAAGAAGCAGGAACATTGCATTCAAAGCACCCTTTACAGATAACCAAACAAACTTCAGAGGTGATCAAGATGAGATAAAGCAACTGAATAGAAAATATATCCAATTTTTATTGGCTGCAGTAGATGTTTGTAGTAGTGAAAAGCATACACAGTTTTTTTAAAAGCCTGGTAGAAGCCTACTACCTTTGCAACTGAGTATATCGAGTCCACAAAGCACAGAAGTCTTGTCCCTATGCCTCCTTCTGTTTCCTGCGTAGACACTGAACGTATTTTCCTCGGGTAAAGAATCTCTGCCCAGTCTTATATACTATGGCCTTGCTGCTTGTAGATACCGCACCGGATGTGGGGAAGAGTGGCTCTGGCAAGGGAGCAGGGTTTCTAGCCCTTTCTGCTGCAAAAATGGGAGATGCTGAATTAACAGGGAAGGTTTATATTTGGATATTTCCATTTACACAATGGATTATGTCACATGACTTTACTCAGGATGTCTTATACCTTCTCAATGGCCACCTGAAATATATGGTGTCATTTTTATATCCACTGTGACTGTATTCTGTACTTTCTTGAGTAAACCTCTCCTAAGCCTCTCCTGTCACACTGCATTTCTATCTATTTAAATGCTTTCTTAATATACAGCCTTTGGCCCCATTTCAAATTTTGACAGGTGGTGTGTCTATGATTTAGCCCCCCCCCCCCCCCCCGCCATGTCTATGCATTCATACATCATTTTCTAAAAAGGAAACCTGGGACCCTCTAGAACATCACCAGGCAAGAAAAGTTGTAAAATCCAGTGCAATAACTAACGGTTACATTTTAGCAGCTATGAAAAAGACAGTAATGTCACTTGAAGACTTGAAAGAGAGGGTAGAAGTGGTTTTTGGATGAAGAAAGCAGTTTCTCTAAAGATTGGGAGATGAGATTCTTTAGACAACACACAAAAATGGGGATGTATGTTTAAAAAAACCTGGCAGCGGTCTATAATAAACTAATGAGTGTTTTTTTCTGGACACAATTGAATGCCCACTCCTTACCTGCCTACCTTTCATTATTTGGCATGATCATCTTTACATAATATTACCATCACTACATCTATTATGTGGTATTCCCTGTTTGGTTTACAGACAACATGGAAAGATCAGCCGGTCATTTTTTCAGAGAAGAGGATACTGAGCAAACAATTTGGACATACCTTCCTATGTTTGTCAACTCATGGAAAGTGGTTAGCTTCCGTTTCAGAGAGTGGGCAAGTTTTTATCCATGATGCTTCGAGTTTGGTAACTGTCAAAATATAGCTCTCATTAAAAATTTTGTTCACCAAGGTTTTCCAATGAATTTCAAGTTGCACATTAAATAAATGCATACAGAATGTTCTGTTTTTATTTTGATGCTAGTATTGTGTTACTGGTTGTAGAGTCTCAAGGTAAATAGAAGAAATTAGAACAGATCAAGTCTGGAATCATATAAAGGAAATATACACCTATATGGGGTTTAATGTTTCTTTTGCTTGAATATATTGCTTTTGCTAAAAATGTGTCACAAGGCATGAGAGTTGAATTAAAAGCAACAGGGAGAAGGAAAAAGGACTCCAGTGTCAGACACAAGTTTGCAAGACAGCTTGATACTACTGTCCAACTCAGCTAAGCCAGTAGGTTTGCCAGATTTTATAAGACACCCAGAGCATTTAAAACAGGAAATGTGTTAAGCCAGTACTTTCTGACTCCGAAGGCATGTTTATCTATTCAGGAATAAGAATAAAATGTTCTAAAGACATTGGAACAAACCCCTCCTTTCCTTCAAGAAACAATTAAAAACTTATTTCTGTATGCTAAGCTACAGAGAGGAAAAAGAAGAATAGTCTACAATCAATTTTACCTTGTCAGGCAATGTTGACAACAATTACTCTATCCTATTGAAAAGCTATATTTCTATATTTTTATAATCTCAGATTTTATATTTTTATACATACCTTAACAATTAATGTGTTATTTATTATACTGATTGATTTATTTGTTTTACTTAATTGTGTTTGATTTGTTTATTTTTCATTGTCTGCTTTAATGTCTTTTGTGTTACTGTATATGGCATTGAATGTTTGCCATTTTTTGCCTTTGGAAGCTGCCCTGAATCCTCTGGGGAGAGAGGGCAGATTAAAAATACTTATTATTATTATTATTATTATTATTATTATTATTATTATTCTGACTAAAAAACACAGTATGACATATCGAAAAAGATGTATATGCTGGATTTCGTATCCCAAAATCACAAGTCTAACACTGCCCAAGCGTTTAGGACTATGTGATATATGGAGAAAAAAACCAAAACCAAGTCTATACTGGCTCAGTCGTCACCCAAGATAAAAAGGCCCACGGTGGATGCTGCTGATTCTGGACATCCATCAACAAGTGGGCTGCAGAATCAAAATACAAATGAGCAGTCACAGAAGCAGCAGAAATATACAATTATTATTATTATTATTATTATTATTATTATTATTGAGAATCAGAACAGTGTCTGGAGAAGGTACATTCAAGTTAGAGCAATAAAACTAATCTCATCTAAGGATAACAAAATGCAGGTCTTTCTATAGTAGAATACTATGACTAAAAGAACAAACACTACAGAAGTCAAGATAGTGAAGCAAAACACTAGGCAAAAGGCTATGTCCTCCTGCAGCATTTATGCACAAGGAAATTCTTCACAAGATGTATCTGCAGCATACTGTTATATCACTTTGATATCGCTGTAGTTGTCATGAGATACTGTTACATGAGATATGTTTGTATTTTCTTCTACGTTGCAAACTTTATTTGCTTACTGATCAGGCAAGTTACAGGTTTCATACTAAATATCTTGAGCTGTTACAGACATAAGGTTCCCAATCGCTTCAAAGTGGAGAGAGCAGGTTATAGAGTCACATATGCCTTTTCTCTGTTCTTTCCTTTCTTCCTGAACAACAGATATAAGTGAGTTTTTTTTTCTTTTCTTTTTTTAAAAGGACATTTGGGCTCGTGAGTACTGCCATTCATATCATGGAAGAGGAATCAGATCCTTTGTATTCTCACTAGGCAGCCAGTATATGCTTGCCAGTGGCTCACAAGATGGAACACTTGTTTGTCTAAAATGGAAGTAAGTATTAATTTGTGTGGTTGAAGGCTTTCATGGGTTGCTGTGAGTTTTCTGGCCATGTTCCAGAAGCATTCTCTCCTGACATTTCACCCACATGTATGGCAGGCATCCTCAGAGGTTGTGAGGTCTGTTAGATACTAGGCAAGTGAGATTTATGTTGTTGTTTATTCGTTTAGTCGCTTCCGACTCTTCGTAACCTCATGGACCAGCCCACGCGAAAACTCCCTGTCAACCGTCACCATCCCCAGCTCCTTCAGAGTCAAGCCAGTCTCTTCAAGGATACCATCCATCAATCTTGCCCTTGGTTGGGCCCTCTTCCTTTTTCCTTCCATTTTCCCCAGTATCATTGTCTGGCCAAAGTTTATATATCTGTATTAATTTTTAAAATTCTTGGGTATAGCATAAGACAGACATCCAGCAGACTATAATTCTACTGATATGGTACTTTCAACAACAGCATAATTTCAAATGCTACTATTTCATTAATGTAGACACTAGACTAGATTAGTCTAGTGTACTAATACAAATTAGTATTAATGAACACACAAATATAGAACATTGGATACTATCAGGAGATCCCTGGGTATGCATAGTCTGTCTGTGTGCTGCCAACTTCCATAGATGTGAAGATTTTTCCAAGGAAGGAAGAAAGAAAAAAAGTAGATTTCTAATAAAGGTTCTGGATGGTATGGCACTTAGCATAACCTGATTCTCTCCATTTCCCTTTCTCCAGTTTTGGTATGGTAATGATAGCTATTGTAGCCCAACACCTGAAGATTGCAAGATTGATAGATAAAAAGCTGTTCTATGCAGTTAATCTTTTTTAATTGCTTGTTTTTTATTGTCCACTAACCGTCCCCTGCCACGCGTTGCTGTGGCCCACATGGGGGTTCTGTGTGGGAGGTTTGGCCCAATTCTATCATTGGTGGGGTTCACTACCCACCAAACCCTTTCAGTATTTTCTGTTGGTCATGAGAGAAGTGTGCCAAGTTTGGTTGAATTCCATCGTTGGTGGGGTTCAGAATGCTCTTTGATTGTAGGTGAACTATAAATCCCAGAAAGTACAACTCTCAAATAACAAAATCACTCTTTTGAGTGAAGGACATGCATTGGGTTATTAGGTATCTTGTGTCCAAATTTGGTGTCAATTCGTCAAGTGGTTTTTGAGTTCTGTTAACCCTACAAACGAACATAACATTTTTATTTATATAGATTTTGATTGGTGGTAGCTGCTATCCTAAAACTTACCTCTGACAAAATGTATATGGATTTGGGTTGTGAAAAGCAGTTGACTAACCTATTAATGACAACAATAAAACATTAACCAATTTTCTCTTTTTTCAATTTTCTCTTCTTTTATCTAAGGAAACTTGGGGAGCGCAAAATAAAGGATGCAAGTGACTTTGGAGCTAACCTTCTTAATACATATAGCAGCTATATATTCCGTGAAAACTTAATTCTACGGAACATGGCAGAGTGGACTACAGTATCAAAATCTTACCCCTTTGAGAGTTCTTCTTCTCAGGTCCTAAATTTCTTTAATATTTTGAGATGTGCAGCAAAACTGTTTGAAGTGGTAAAGAGCTGGAGAATAAGGCCAGATGGGTCATTTCGTGTTAAGGATATGTATTTTGATCTTGCCACATGTTGAGAGGATTTTCCCTCATTTTTGGATTAAAATCCATGAATAGGCTATTGTCCTGACGATACAGATCTGTGCTGTGTATATGTAGAATTGGATGAGTGACATATTATGGGCCTGCCTCTGGATCCATGGTGAAATAATAGATGATCATTCTAATTAAAGCCATGTGATTAATGAAGTTCTTCCAGTCGAGTGAATCTGGCAGAGTTGAGTAGGAATGTGAGCCAAATGAGAGAGCATAAATATATCAGTATCTTGAAACGAATACTAAAATAAACCTGGAAGATAACAGAATTGTAAGTGAAACGGATCTCATGATCTGTCTCATATATTTATGTGTTTTAGATGAGGTTCCACAGGACATCAGGTATTGACGTGACAGGTGAAGATGAGTACTACCTTCTGACTCAAGCAAAATCTGATGAAGTTTCATGGATAGATGAGAAAGCTCAGACGGTAATTGTAACACTATTGTCAAGTCTTTAGTTGGATTAAAGTCAACTCTCCAAATTTAAGGAAGAAAGCTTTTAAGACTGAGTCAGGGTATGCTGTATTTTATGTAGTTTAATTAATTTTTTAAATTGTTTTATTATTTAATGATGTATTTTAACAGTCATATATTTAATTCTATTTTGATGTTTATATGCTTTAATTTTAATTTCCTCATTGTTACGATTTTTAGCATTAGCTACTTTGAGTATTCTTTGGAAGAGAAAAATCAGGATATTATTATTATTATTATTATTATTATTATTATTATTATTATTATTATTAGATACACAACAAGATTACTACACAGAAAACAAGATCACTTTGCTGGCTTTTGCATTTGATCACACGTCAGACACTTCCCAAGTGTCTAGAACTGTGTGATGTATTGGTGAATAATGTGTGCAGAGCCGAGTAGGGTAGCCTTTTGCAGTTGACATATGGTAATTTTATGGCCTATCACTGAACATTGAGAAAACCAAGGTGCTGTTCCAGCAGTCACCAGCCAATCCCTCTCCAATGCCAGTAATACAGCTTAATGGTGTAACATTAGAAAATGTGGACCATTTCCGCTACCTTGGCAGCCACCTCTCCACCAAAGTCAACATCGACGCCGAAATACAACACCGCCTGAGCTCTGCAAGTGCAGCATTTTCCAGAATGAAGCAGAGAGTGTTTGAGGACCGGGACATCCGTAGGGAGACCAAGTTCTTGTCTATAAAGCTATTGTCCTCCCAACCCTGCTATATGCCTGTGAGACGTGGACTGTCTACAGACGTCACATGCAACTCCTGGAACGATTCCATCAGCGCTGCCTCCGGAAAATCCTGCAAATCTCCTGGGAAGACAAACGGACAAACGTCAGTGTGCTGGAAGAAGCAAAGACCACCAGCATTGAAGCGATGGTCCTCCAACATCAACTCCGCTGGGCCGGCCACGTTGTCCGGATGCCTGACCACCGTCTCCCAAAGCAGTTGCTCTACTCCGAACTTAAGAACGGAAAACGGAACGTTGGTGGACAAGAAAAGAGATTTAAAGATGGCTCAAAGCCAACCTTAAAAACTCTGGCATAGACACTGAGAACTGGGAAGCCCTGGCCCTTGAGCGCTCCAGCTGGAGGTCAGCTGTGACCAGCAGTGCTGCAGAATTTGAGGAGGCACGAGTGGAGGATGAAAGAGAGAAACGTGCCAGGAGGAAGGCGCGTCAAGCCAACCCCGACCGGGACCGCCTTCCACCTGGAAACCAATGCCCTCACTGCGGAAGAAGATGCAGAGCAAGAATAGGGCTCCACAGCCACATACGGACCCACAAGGAAATCCATAATGGAAGACCATCTTACTCGTCCAACGAGGGATCGCCTAAGTAAGTAAGTATGGTAATTTTGTCAGTTCCGATTGTTTTAAAGTTCAGGCCAAGGTATTTAGGCTCTGCACCCAGTGTGCCAATCAGTACTGGGACTACCTTTACTGGTTCGTGTCAGAGTCTTTGCAGTTCTGTCTTTAAACCCTAATATCGTGTAAGCTTTTCCAAGTCGCTCCTGCTACTGCCGCTTCTCCTCGTCCTCCTCTTCCTACTCCTACTCCTACTCCTCTTCTGCTGCTGCTGCTGCCTCTTCTTCTTCTTCTTCTTCTTCTTCTTCTTCTTCTTCTTCTTCTTCCTATTATTAGTGAGTTTGACATTTGTGGATTTGATTATTCACAGATTTGATTTAAGTGATCTGAAAATGAAACATTTACACTGCACACTTATCTGAGAGTAGCCTACAATGATTACAAATGAGATTTACATAAGTAGACGTACTTAGTGACAAATAAAGCTTCATATACCTAGTGTAATGCCATTCCAGATAATCTCACTGTTAAGAAGAAAAAAATAGTCAAGAGATTATTGTGTGTGTGTTGTTTTAAATGAAAACCATAGATCATATGATTTTTGCATTATACTATTTGTTAAATTTATCTGGGCTTTGTTTCTTATATATAAAGTTGTGGTTTTCTATACCTCTGTTTCTTTTTACCATCTCTTTCCCTTTTACACTGCAGGCTGTCAAGAATGAAACTACAAAGTTTGGTGAAAAGAGAAAGGAAGTGAAACGTGGAATTAAAGGGCTCCGTAAAAAGGTGTGTTACTGAATTGCCAGAATGCTTTCAGAAGTGCTGTTGAGCTTCAGCTTATCGAAAGTGTAGGAACATTAGAATAACACTGCCGATTTAAGAGTGACTTTTAAACATAATTTTCCGACAAATATTCCCTCTGGACCCTTTGCATACTTGTATGGAAGCCTCTAAAAATTTTGATGAGAGACACACAGATGAGCACCAAAGTAAAGGAGGGAGGGTGTAGTTGTGTGGGAAAGTTCTATACAATTCTACACATATTTTCCTGTGTAAAGGAGCCCAAGGAGGAGCCCAAGGAGGGCTCGTGTGAAGGCTCCCTTGGCTCCCTTGCGGCTTGATGGAGTTCAGAATGCTCTTTGATTGTAGGTGAACTATAAATCCTAGAAACTACAACTCCCAAGTGTCAAAGTCTAATTTCCCCAAACTCCCCCAGTGTTCACATTTGGGCAGATTGAGTATTCTTGCCAGGTTTGGTCCAGATCCATCATTGTTTGAGTCCACAGTGCTCGCCTGATGTAGGTGAGCTACAGCTCCAAAACCAAGGTCAATGGCCACTAAACCCTTCCAATATTTTCTGTTGGTTAAGGGATATCTGTGTGCCAAGTTTGTTTCAATTACATCGTTGGTGGAGTTCAGAATGGTCTTTGATTGAGTTGCTGAGCTTGTTGACCGAAAGGGTGCAGGTTCAAATCCAGGAAGCGGCATGAGCTTCCGCTGTCAGCCCCAGCTTCTCCCAACTTAGCAGTTCAAAAACATGCAAATGTGAGTAGATCAATAGGTACTGCTATGGTGGGAAGGTAACCATGCTCCCTGCAGTTATGCTGGCCACATGACCTTGGAGGTGTCTATGGACAACGCTGGCTCTTTGGCTTAGAAATGGAGATGAGCACCACACCCAAGTCAGGCAGCTGGACAAGAAGGCGATTAGTGAAAAAATCTTTGAGAAGGATGCAGCGGACAATTTGGAGATTAGTAAAAAGCAAGGTTTTTCTATATGGTATCCCAGACTAAAGAGTGACCAATACTGCCAACAATATCTTCAAGACCTAACCTCAGCAACGTTGAGGAAAGCCTTTACAGCCCTGCGCTTCCAAACAATGCCCTCAAACTGGCTAGAAGGGAGATACAGAGGGATCCCCCATGCCCAAAGGCTTTGCATTTGTGGCGCCGGGGAAAAAGAAGATCTAACACACTATCTATTACACTGCCCTTTGTATAATGACCCCAGAAAAAATCTCCTGGGAACACTCCTTGAAGAAAGGGCAGCATGGCAAGAACCTGCCGTGATTGGTGACCTACTAGCAGATTATGACAAAAATATAACACTAAAAGTAGCCACATTTGCAATCGCAGCCCAAAAGATCAGAGACAGAGTAGCAAAATCCTCGCTGGAGACCTGATAGGGAAAGGGAGATGGCTAGGGAGGACTCAGAATAGACGCTGTTATTGCTAGGTTTCTGCCAGCAAAATTTTAAAGTACTAGTTTTTAAAATCTTGAACGGGTTTTGGTTTACATCGGAATGTATTTAATGTGTTTATAAAGGTTGTATGTTATTGATGTCATGGCCTATGGCTAGTGCAATAAACTTTATTCATTCATTCAGACATGACTGGACATAATGTCAGGGGAAAACCTTTACCTACAACTCCCAAATGACAAAACCAACCCCCCCCCCAACCCCACCAGTATTCAAATTTGGGTATATCTAGTAATTGTGCCAAATTTGGTTGGGGGGTCACCACAACATGAGGAACTGCATTAAGGGGTCACGGCATTAGGAAGGTTGAGAACCACTGGCTTAGATGATCAGCTATGGATGGGAAAGGATACAAAGTTGAGGCTTGTCTCTGGCCAAAGCCAGATAGGGGAAAGTTCTTGTAATATGATGGCCTAGGAAGATCGGACAAATATGATATGAGAAAATCTGTAATAGAGATAGGATAGTAAGCCACAGTGAATATAGTTTTGAGGAGCCATAAATGATTAAGTAGCTCAAGGGTTAGTTTATTATTTACATGTGTCTCAACAAACTTCCATTTCTCTTTTTCTTTTTTTACAACCATGGCCCCACCTACACTGCTATATAATGCAGTTCATAATGCAGTATAATGCAGTAGATGGGACCTATGTCTAGTTGTTCCTGTACAGTTTGATAGAGCATCCAGTCATACATATCACAACAAACCCACAGATCGATGCAATGCCTGGCCCACATAGACTGGATCTACACTGCTGTATAATTGAAGTTTCAGAGTGGAGATTAACTGCATTGAACTGGATTATTTGACCCTACATTGTATTATTATTATTATTTCATGTCAAAAGCATTGCATAAATAAGTATAAAACCAATAAAATAAAGGAAGCACAAGCAGATAAATAATTTTAGACCAGAAACAGGCAACAGCAGCCACATTGTCTGTAGCTTTAAACAATTCTTCCTCTGTGCATGAGGCAGGGCTTTGTGGGCAAGCATACATATGCAGAGTTGTTTGTTCTGCTCCACAGTCACCCAAGGTGGAGGATTCTTCTAGGTAGTGCCATTTTTCCAGGTTGTCTTTTGATCTGCCCACTCAACTTCTGGGTCTGTTCTGAGTCAATGCAGTTAATCTGCATTCTGGAACTGCATTGTATGGCACTGTAGATCCAGCCATAGTGATCACCTTGAAGCCCAAGTACCCAATTTGGAGAGGGATCTTAGGGGGAAAGGGGGCATGTTGAGTTACAGGAGCCTGAGAGTTGATACTGTGGAAAGGGGATCTGTCCCACATGTTCTCATGCCAACCACAAACTGGAGTTACATCGCCACGAAAAGTTTTCTAACCTTTACTACTATCCCTCTACCTATTGCTCACCTTCAGTATGTTAGTGAGGTAATTAATTGTACTGAATTTGAGACCATGAAGAAAACAAGCAGGTTACTTAGCCATAACTTTGGTTCTTCACGTGATCATATGAACATACTCCTCCCCATTCTCCTCTTTCCCACCTTGGCTTCTGTTGTATGAATTAACAACACAGAAGAACCAAGGATAGTCAGTCATGCATGCTGGTGGGTTGAAACAGAATTTCCACCAAAAAAAGACAACTTGGCTCTAGAATATTCTGTGCTGACACAAGACTCATATTTGTGAATTCATGAATGACTATTCAGAAGAGCACAGATACAACAATTAAGCAACCTGTTTCTCGCCATATCCTTCTTGTATTTATGTGTGCCTTCTTCATTAATTTTCTCCTTCATTAAAAATAGATTCAAGAAATGATGTATGAAAATTCAATGTCACCTAAAATTGAGAGGCTAGACCAACAAGAATTCAACCTGGATGTAGAAGAACAAGAGAAGCAACAAGTGCATAGTGTCGCAGAAGTGACAAGGGTATGATTAGCATGACTGTTTAAGGCCATAAAGAAATGCAGATGGACCTCGGCTAACAAAGAAGATATTCAACACATTTCAGCAATTTTTATTCAAAATAATCACAATGTACATATGAAATGAAACAGCCAAACAGCCTTGCATGAGTAAACAAAAGCATTTTGAAGTTTATTTCTAGTGCATTCATGCAGGGCTTTTTTCACACTGTTTTCAAGCTAGGTGTCACCTATCCTATGTGTGCATGTGATTTTTATTGCCTACATGAGTGGCAATGAAAACCAGTGTAGTTTTATATTTTTCATTTATTTTCTCTGCTATAAATTAGGTGAAGAAGGATATAGAAATGGAAAGCCTAGCAAATCGTTATTTACGTGAAATAATTAAACAAGAGTGCTGGAATGCAATGTCTGTTAAAGGGCGCTCTGTTAAGGTAACTTCATTCATTTCACACCTTTCTCCTGTTACTAATATAATCAAGTAATTATTAAGTAAAATAATTCAGTCCCAAAAAGTGTCTTATTGTACAAACCAGATCCTAGGCCTCAACAATGCAAGTACTGAAGTAGCAACATCTTTCCTGTCTTCATCAATATTGTGGTACATTTTAATCAAGAAGAACTTCCTAACTGGGAGCAGTTCAGCAGTGGAACTCTCTGCCCCAGAGTGTGGTGGGGGCTCCTTCTTTGGAGGCTTTTAAACAGAGACTGGATTGCCATCTATCAGGGGTACTTTGAATGTGATTTTCCTGCTTCTTGGCAGAATGGGGTTGGACTGGATGGCCCACAAGGTGTCTTTCAACTCTATGATTCTGTGATTCTACTAAGTCTTTAAGTTGGAACAGGTTTCTAGTTGATGGCAGAAAAATAGAAAAAATACAGGTAAATCGTTATTATGGTATTTGCTTTATTTATAACCTGCCTTTCTCCTTGTGGGGACTCAAGACAGTTAACAATCCCACACGTGAGTCATAGTTTAAAAGGTGTGATGCAAAAATTAAAAATAATTAAATAATACAGTTTGTATTAAGGTAAAATAATTACAATATAATAAATGCACTCAAAATAGTGTTTAAAACTCACAACCCATCCATCCTCCGAATCCCCCCCAACTTCTCCAGAGCATGGCAAATCTGAAAGACACCTAAATAGATTGTATTTCCTTTTTTCCAAAGACCTTTCATTTATCTTGTGAAGTTCAGAATTACCCAATGAGAGAAAGGACTCCAGAAGAGCAGCAAATGTTGGAACGAATTCAGTATATGAAGAAGATTGAAGAAATAGATATGAAGGTAGAACCTCTCTTTTTTTCTTTCCTGCTAAAAGTACCTTCATCCACGTGTCTACTTTATATCATAATGCTCTTAGATGTTTCCCATATGTGTGGATTTTTTTAAAAGTCAGAATTTGAAGTCAAAATAATTAAAAATGCTGATGTGATATTTTTCCGTAGTGCCAATGAAAGGCACACTGCTGGGGAGATTGTGGGTGGGAGTTGGGAAATATATTTAGTTTTAAGTGTAATTTTAATTGTATGCATGTTTTATTGTATCTTAATTTTATTTAACATGTATCCATGATAAAAATACTTAATTCTTTTAAATTATTTCTAATTTTTGTGTTTGCAGTGTTTTTAAATTTATGGTAAGTCATCTTGAGCCCTCATGGGGAGAAAGGTAGAGTCGAAATGAAGATGGTGATGATGATAATTATAAAAAATACTATCACTAAGAGCCCCCAGTGAACCACCGCCTCCTCCTGAGAAAAATGTATAATATCACAAAGGACTACCACCTCACCCGCCTCATAGGAAACCTGCTACAAAACAGGAGCTTTTTTGTTGAGGTCCAGGGCCAGAGAAGCAGATGGCAGAAACAGAAGAACGGCCTGCCTCAGGGGAGCGTGCTTGCTCCATCCATGTTCAACATCTACACAAATGACCAGCCACTGCCAGAAGGGACAGAGAGTTTCATCTATGCTGATGATCGTGCCATTACTGCTCAAGAAGGGAGCTTTGAGATGGTAGAACAGAAGCTTTCCGAAGCTCTAGGTGCTCTTACTGCCTATTACAGGGAAAACCAGCTGATCCCCAACCCATCTAAAACACAGACATGTGCCTTTCATCTCAAGAACAGACAAGCATCCCGAGCTCTGAGGATCACCTGGGAAGGAATCCCACTGGAGCATTGCAGCACACCCAAATACCTGGGAGTCACTCTGGACCGTGCTCTTACCTACAAGAAGCATTGCCTGAACATCAAGCAAAAAGTGGGTACTAGAAAAAATATCATACGAAAGCTTACTGGCACAACCTGGGGTTCACAACCAGATACAGTGAAGACATCTGCCCTTGCGCTGTGCTACTCTGCTGCTGAGTATGCATGCCCAGTGTGGAACACATCTCACCACACTAAAACAGTGGATGTAGCTCTTAATGAGACATGCCGCATTATCACGGGGTGTCTGCGCCCTACACCACTGGAGAAATTACACTGTCTAGCCAGTATCGCACCACTTGACATCCGCCGGGAAGTGTCAGCCAATAGTGAAAGGACCAAGGCAGAGACATCTCCAGTTCATCCCCTGTTTGGGTATCAGCCAGCACGTCAACGACTTAAATCCAGACATAGTTTTCTAAGATCTACAGAGACACTCGCTGGAACACCTCAGCAAGCGAGAGTCCAAAAGTGGCAGGCTCAAACCCAGAACCTAAACCAATGGCTGATACCAAATGAGAGACTCCCCCCTGGGCACACAGAGGACTGGGCGACTTGGAAGGCGCTGAACAGACTGCGCTCTGGCACCACGAGATGCAGAGCCAACCTTCAGAAATGGGGCCACAAAGTGGATTCCATGACAATGCAACCTGAGCCCTGCCACATGCACCATGGAGGACCTTCTTGCAGCAACACCAGAAGCACTCCAAGTGGCCAGATACTGGTCAAAGGACATTTAATCAACTACCAAACTCACAAATTTTGTATTTTGTCTGTTTGTTTGCTTTGTTCTGTTAGAAATGTAATATAATTGACTGGCTGCCCTGACACGAGAAATAAAATAAATCCCACAATGGATGGTGCGGATGAGCTCCCTCTATCAGCTCCAGCTCCTCATGAGGGGACATGAGAGAAGCCTCCCACAAGGATGATAAAAACATCCAATCATCCGTGCATCCCCTGGGCAACGTCCTTGCAGACGGCCAATTCTCTCATACCAGAAGTGACTTGTAGTTTCTCAAGTCACGCCTGACACAAAAAAAACAAAAACAAAAAAACCCCCTAAGGTTGGTGTCACCAAGGGTGATAACTCATGCTGGCACCCCATAGGAGGATAAGTTAAGTCCAGAGAGTCTCTCATGTTCAGAATCACAGCAGTTGGGAAAAAATTTCAGTCTTCTGCTGGTAATGCCTGGGAGCAGATGATAGAGATGCTTTGCTGAAGCAACAACAGCACTTTTCAGAAAAAGTGGGAGGGTTACAATTGTTATTATTGGGCAGACCCTCTGAAATAAAAATGAATATACTGCCAAGGATTGTGTTTCTTTTTCAAACAATACCTGTGATAGCAACAGATAAACTATTTAAACTGTGGTAAAAGGATATATCTAAATTTGTGTGGCAAGGAAAGAAGCCAAGAATTAAATTTAAGGTGTTACAATACACAAAAAAATGGGGTGGACAAGGTGTACCTGATCTGAAATTTTACTTTGCCACTTGCTGTTTAGTTTGGGTAAAAGACTGGGGTTTATTGATAGCAGGATGTTGGCACGGGAGGAACATGATTTGAGATATGGTCTGTATGCTTACATGTGGTATGACAAAGTGAAAACAAATATGTTTTTTAAAAATCATTATGTTAGATGCTCTCTATTATGAATATGGGAGAGAGAGAGATTCCTGTATATACTCAAGTATATGCCTAGTTTTTCAGCCCCTTTTTTAGGGTTAAAAAGCCCCCCTCGGCTTATACTCGGGTGAGGGTCCTGATGGGAAGGTGTGGGACTGAAAAAAGGGCTTCTTTCAGCCCCACACCTTCTTGCTAGGACCCTCACCTGTCCGCACAGCAACCCAGCTCTCCTTCCTTTCCTCTCTTGAGCAGCATCCACCTTTCTCTCCTCCTTTCTTACACAGTGCGCATCTTCCTCTCCTCCTCTCTCGGTGCCAGTCTTTTCAACTTTTCCTAATTCATACACTCAGAGCGTTTCCCCCAAAATGTATAGTTATAATAAACTATTGTGATTAGTGGAAGGATACGTAAGCAAATTTACATTGAAGAAGGTTAGAATAATGGTTTAATCAGAGTTGGACAGTCTTATCTTAAATTACAGTTTTATGTAAATATTCAAAAACATTTAACCTACTGATGCCTCAATTAATGTAATTTTATTGGTATCTATTTTTATTTTGAAATTTACCAGTAGCTGCTGCTTTTCCCACTCTTGGCTTATAATTCAAGTCAATAAGTTTTCCCAGGTTTTGTGGTAAAATTAGATGCCTCGGCTTATATTTGGGTTGTCTTTTACTTGAGTATATACGGTAATTTTATGGTTACTAAATAATCCATTTTTGCCATACTAACAGCTTTCTTGCCTTCCTCATTGGAGAATGCTATTGTAACAATCATGGGATAGTGTCATTTTTAAAAAACAAAAAACAAAAATTTGCAACTTTTACATAGTTTAGAGTTTTGATACATTCATATATGCAATCATTTATTGAGGCAAATTTAAGGATTAAAAAACAAGAAATATTTATCATGTTATTTCTAAGTGTCTTATTTCTTTTTAAAAGGGGGGGGAGGCAAACACTTCATAGGAACTTTAGTCTGAATCAGAATTATAGTATGGGGCAGGGTGTGGAATAGAAATCATTGTCTCTCTGAAACATGAATTTTCCCAATTCCCATAAAATTTGCTTTCAGTTCCCAAATTTCTAGCATTGCATTAACTTATGAAAGCTTTAGCTGAATATTTAGAAATATGGTTTAGAGTTAACATTCAAATCAAAGAGACAAGCAAAGTGACCAAGGGAATTCATACACAGGAAATGTAATAGTCCTAGTTGTGAATGATTTCCTAGTTGTGAATGTATCACCACATGCAGCACTCAGAGCCAGTCCACTTCACTGAAATTTAAAATTAAATCTTTAATGTTATCTCCCCAAAATACAATTTAGCTGGTATCCTGATTGGGAATAACATCTTCAAAAATTACAATTGAGCAGTTCTATAACATTTATATTTAGTAGAAGATTGATGTTGTGTTGCTATGTATCAAAATGACAATTTCACAATTGGATCAATGTCCATCAGAATGTGTATCGAATTGGTCTCCTGCCATTACACATCTTCATCATTTACTTACAGTTTTTTTAAGCATCTCTACAATGTAGCTAAGTATGTCTGAAGTTACGTAATATAGGTAGTGATATAAAATTCCACCATTTTGCTTTAAACTGGGCTGTGCACCCCACAACTTTTAAAAGTGTGGTTGAAACTATAAATTGAATTTTAGCCATTTCTGATTTCTTCAGGATGGATTGTGTATCTTCCAATGGGTTGGAATTGGCCTCTAGATTTTCTTAACTTGTGCGTCTCTCATCTGGGTGATCTCAGCATCACTATCATTTCAACCTACTGCACTGCTTTTTATTTTACATGTTCAGCTTCGAAAGAAGATTGTTGAGTTTGAGTCTGAACCTTCATTTCTTATTAAAGAGGAAGGAGAGAAGATAGAAGAAGAAGAAAATGTTGATACTCTGGTCGGGAGCCTGAGTTCAAGCTATGGTGGAGATACATCTGTTTTATACCCACAGATGGACCTGCACACTCGAGAGGAGAAAATCAGTCAGATTATATTGCTACAGGTATTTCATTTTCCATAAACAGATCCCACAAAGAGTTGCTTTTCTATATGCTCCCTGTAAAACATTACACTTCTGAAAGAAAAATTGCAATAGGATGTTAGTAGTTTTTTTGGGGGGGGGGAGGATTACCTCTGGTCAGTTTTTTAAACTTCAGATATGTCTGCCACATGGTTTACTTTGATCTGAATCTTCAATTGATATGGCAAGACAAGTGTGTTCGTTTTTTCATGACTGTGTCTATTCCATTCACATATAAAATGGAAAATGGTAAATTAAATACTGAATAAAGAGGGAGTTTGCCAAACTTTGCAAAGGTGAAATCTTTCACCTGTCTGTCCTGAACATGTTAATATCACAGTTTCATTGAAACAAAAATTGCCACAGAGCAGATCTAAGAAAAGATCTGATTTGTTAAAGATCAAGGTGTAATCATTATTTATTTATTTATTTATTTATTTATTTATTTATTTATATCCCACCACCATCTCCCAAAAGGGACTCAGGGCAGCTTACAAGGTACACCAAGTGTAGTATATAACATAAAATGATACACAAGTATAAACAACCACTGCCAACATATAAAATAATATACAATAACACAATTTAAAAACATGGACCATTTGTTGTTAAAACTAGCTACCCTCAATTCACAACTACAGTGCCAGAGTGTCAATCTCATATGGGCCCATTTCAGCCTACTTGAGGCCTAAAGCCTGCTTTAAATCCATGTTTTTAGGCTGGATCGGAAAGATTCAAGGGTGGGGGCAAACCAAATATCTTTTGGGAGGGTATTCCAGAGCCGGGGAGCCACTACAGAGTACAGAGTCTTTCATCCCCACCAACCATGCTTGAGACAATGGTGAGACCGAGAGAACGGTCTCCCCTGCTAATCTCAAAGCCTGCGCCAGTTCATACAAAGAGATACGGTCTCGAAGATAGGTTGGACCCAAAGGATATAGGGTTTTGTAGATAATAACCTGCATCTTGAATTGAGCCTGGAAAATTGTTGAAAGCCAGTGAGGCTGTTTTAGTAGGGGCATGGTATAGCTAGCCCCAGTTAGTAATCTGGCAGCCGACCTGCAGTTAGTTTGCACTAACTGCAGTTTCTGAACCGCCTTCATAGGCAGACCCACATAGAGTGCATTACAGTGGTCCATTCTGGATGTAACTAAGGCATGGGCCACTGTGGATAGCATATCATGTGTGTGTTCTGTAAAGCAATTAAATGAAATTAATGATTCCAGAGAAGAGGAGTAGTATGAAAGGAGTCCTTAACTAGAAGAAAAATGCTTGTAGTGAGAGGGTGTGATGCAGTAAATTATGGAACAGGTGAGGCCTCAACTCTTTTTTCCTGTGGGCATCATAGCAAGTACAGTACAACCATCATATTAGTGGGACCAGTATCCAGGTCTGCAAAATATGTCATCTTGTTAGTGAGCCACAGGAAAGGCCTTTGTGGGCTGCATCCAGTCTACGGGCCATAAGTTGTTCAGGCCTGCTTTATAGTATCACTAGATTAAGTCTTCGATCATCTGGAGAGGCCTCATGCAAGCCACTCTGAGTCCCTTGGGGAGATGGTGGTGGGGTATAAATAGAGTATTATTATTATTATTATCATCATCATCATCATCATCATCATCATCATTATTAATTTCAGTAGGGTTGGCTATTCTGCATTGTTTTGTGTATCCATGCAAAGTCCAGGAACATCTCCCCAGTGGATACAGGAATGATACTATATAAAGTGTCAAACTTTGGTAAAAGGTTGTTTCCCAACTTCGTAATTTCTAAATCGGGGGTAGATCAAGTGCAGTCTTGAACCTTCTTGTCTTTATGTTTATAGTGCAACTCTAAAGCTCAGCATTTCTGCATGAAACACTACTTCTCACTAATGATTAGTAACAAGAACAATAAAAACAAAGGAGAACCCTTAGAGAAGAGGTGGGCAAAGTGCAAACCCTGAAAATCCCAAAGCTCCCAGGCTTCCTCCATTTCTTTTCACATTTCCTGAATGGTTTTCCATTCCCACCCACCCCCAAATGACTCCAATCCCCTGCAAAATGCAACATCTGTTTCCTCACATCACAGAAGCAGAAAACAAAACAAAACAAAAAAACATTTTCAAATTAAAACTAGACATTACTCATTTTTTCAAGGAAGTTTGTGGCCAGGTTTTGGGTACTAGGGTGCTTTCAAGATATATGGGAGCCTCGAAGTGGGGAAGCGCTGCAATTTTGCAGCAGTTCTGAGTTGTTGCCTAGAAAAATGATTTATATGTCAGAGAAGGTCTGCTTCCTTCTCTGACATTGTCCACCCAGGGTGAAAGTCGTGCCCATACTTTGAGATTTGTTGTAGTGTCTGGGATTTTAACATGCCATTTGCAGTTTTTTGTTCTCCTTTTTACTATTTAAGGACATTATTTACAATGTGAAGAGTGCCTTTAATTCAGACTTTAACTCAGTCATCCGAATGAAAGAATTGGAAATTGCTCGTGTGAAGGAGAGAAACATGAGGATCTCTGAGATCTTGAACCAGCTGGATATTCATGAGGAGATATGGGTGCCAACTCTTTCAGATAATGAGCAACCTGATCGAGCAATGTCAGTTCTGGATTCAGAGGTTTGGTATCCAAAAACAGATCTTTCTCACCTTACATGCTAAGAATGGAAATGTAAACTGAAGACCTGCATCATTTGGAAGATAAATATTCATATGTTGTAATGTTTGCTATGACATTGATTTTACCTATGAGGGACACATGCTTTTGTTCATGCCTTACTATATCAGGGTACCTGTGTTTAATTGATTCTTTTAATTTCGTGTTGTTTATTCCTTCCTATCTTGTTGCTTTTAATAGTCTAAAATGTCCCACTCTCTGTTAGCTCACCAACTATGGCTAAAATAATAACCTCCTATAAATCTTGTAGCACAATTTATTAAGCACTGTCATAATAAATAACATATTGTATTATTGTATGTTGCCTTAGTTCCCATGTTGAGAGGAAGACAAGATATAAATTAATACAATAAATAAATAATGAAATAAATTATGTATGCTACAGTAAACAGAGAGAAATATATCTGGAATAAACAGAGAGGGAAGGAGCTAAAATGGTGCCGAGAGCAGACGGGTTTTGAGGCTCCTCCGTCACTAGCTCTACTGCTAAGCTCAAGAAGCTTCTGACCTGCTAAATTGGTGCTGTTGTTACTGATTTACATTTTCAATGCTTTTTTTTTCCTTTTAGAAATTACCCATCAAACTCATTTATCCTGATCCCAGTAGTTGCTAACTTAAGAGATGATTAAAAGTAGGATCTAGCTTTAAAAATCATTCCCTATTGTCTCTCAACGTTTCTATGCTCTGTCTCATATGGTAACCATTTAGAGATGGTAGTGATTCACTTATTCCTGCTGCTTCCATTCAGTACATTAGTCACAGTAAGGTTATATCATCTAACTTCCTTGCATTCAGTCAGACATTTTTTATGGAGAGAAATCAAAGAATTACTGGTCATCTTATGTACAAAGAGAGGGCATAAGCCCTTTTGGTAGTCCCAATTAGAGTACCAATCAGTCACTAGGATTTATGTGTTAACACACAACTGTTGCTTCAATTGACCTATTCTAGTTGGGAGAAGTAGTAACATTCAGGTCTAGATGTAGCATATAATCAAAATAGAGACCTCTGAATGTAGCGAGTCCTAGTTTAGATCCAACTGCTGATATATATATATATACACACACACACACATACACACACACACGCGCGCGCGCGCGTTCTCTACAAGAGTTATGAAACATGAAAGTAATGGGACTAGCCACATATTCATTCTGTGCTACAAAGAGATAAACTATATTTGGAAATGACAGTGTGTAGCCATTGGCAGTTGTGTCTCCAAGAATAGAAAATAATGCATGTATGCATGCACCATTCTCTTAAATGTCCATAATTCCATGCACATTATTCATGGACACTCATTATATACATAAAAAATTATATCATTGTGTTCGGAAGGGATACATGACTGACCTTTTTAGTGTGTGACCTTGAATATGTACTTTTGGTTGTAGAATCCTCAGAATCTACTGGTCCTAAGGCAACCCAGCACTGATATCCAGCAATAATGCCAGAAAAATGACCAGAGCTTGGAGTAGATTTGAAGAGGGGGGAAGATGGCAAAGCATCAAATTTATTCACAGAAAATCTGAATCTTTTGTCTTCACAGATCAAAGCAGAAAAGTATTTGACCCCAGTGCAGAAAGCAAAAGAAAAAATCATGACTAAGGTTGAGCATAAAAGACGTCTTGCTGCTCAGGTTACTGAAAGATATCTTGCTACATTCTCTACATTTTTTCTCTTGAGCCCATGCTCCATTGCTCCATTAATTTTACCATTCATTTCAGAGGGACAATGCCCGGGAGCGTGCCCTTATGGACATGATGAATGGAGTCCTTGAAATAAAAAAAGAAGATATTTTGAAGATGGTGAGTCATGTTTTTATGGAATCACAATTAAAATGAGAGCTGTGTCGTGATTTATCACAGAAGAATGAACTCATGGTTTGGCTTTATGACATTTGACTTACATATATTGATACATTAAAAATGTTTTTTCTTTTTTCCTGCTTAAGGGTCTCTAATTAGGACATTTAACTGTAAATGTGTACAATTATTAGAATATATTTTAAAGTGTGATCCCAGTTGCAGCAAATGCTCATTCCCATTTGTCAAAAAGTGATCCTGTATAAATAATTCATCTGCGAGTGGATTAATTATAAATGTATTTGATTAACCTCATGCCTTTTGGCTGAAACATTCCAAATTATACTGTACAAAACCAAAAATAAGCATTGGTCTCATGTGCTTCGCTCTCTCTTTCTTCCCACTTTAAAACCGCAGACATGATATCTTAAAAACCTATTTTAAAAACCTTCCCTGTTAGATATGGAAAAAAGCAACATTGGTTTAATATTAGTTTATTGCCCACTGCTGGAGTATTTATTTATTTATCATGTCAGAAACAAATTGAGAACACAGTTATAAAGTATAAAAAGGTCCTCCATTGTGCATGTGGCAGGGCTCAGACTGCATTGTAGTGAGTGGTTTGCTCTTCTCCGCCCTTGCATCTCACGGACTCCACCTTATAGCCCCATTTCTTAAGATTGGCTCTGCATCTCATGGTACCAGAGCACAGTATTTTCAGTGCCTTCCAAGTTGCCCAGACTTTTGTGCACCCAGGAGGAAGTTTCTTATCTGGTGTCAGCCACTGATTGAGGTTTCGGGTTTAACCTGCCACTTTTGAACTCTTCTTTGCAAGTATCTCTGTAGATCTTAGAAAGCTGTTTCTTGATTTAAGTCATTGACATGCTGGCTGTTATCTGAACAGAGGATGGGCTAGAGATGTCAATGTTTTGGCCCTTTCATTGCTGGCTGCTACTTCCCGGAGGATATCAGGTGGTGTAATACTGGCTTGTTGTTGTTGTTCACTCGTTCAGTCGTCTCCGACTCTTCGTGACCTCATGGACCAGCCCACGCCAGAGCTCCCTGTCGGCTGTCACCACCCCCAGCTCCTTCAAGGTCAGTCCAGTCACTTCAAGGATGCCATCCATCCATCTTGCCCTTGGTCGCCCCTCTTCTACTTTCCCCAGCATAATTGTCTTCTCTAGGCTTTGCTGTCTCCTCATGATGTGGCCAAAGTACTTCAACTTTGTCTCTAGTATCTTTCCCTCCAGTGAGCAGTCGGGCGTTATTTCCTGGAGGATGGACTGGTTGGATCTTCTCGCAGTCCAAGGCACTCTCAGAACTTTCCTCCAACACCACAGCTCAAAAGCATCGATCTTCCTTCGCTCAGCCTTCCCTAAGGTCCAGCTCTCACATCCGTAGGTTACTACAGGGAATACCATGGCTTTGACTAGGCAGATCTTTGTTGCCAGTGTGTGTGGCTAAACAGTATAATTTCTTCAGTGGTGTTGGGCGTAGACAGCCTGTGACAATGCGGCATGTCTCATTAAGAGCCACATCCACTGTTTTAGCATGGTGAGATGTATTTCACACTGGACATGCATATTCAACAGCAGAATAGTAAAGGTTAGATGTCTTTATTGTGTCTGGTTGTGACCCCCAGGTTGTGTCAGTCAGCTTTCTAGCACCCACTTTTGCTTGATAGTAAATTTATTTACTGTTGGAGTAAATGAATTGTATTGTGTAAGGGTTGAAAATATGTGAACTAAAAGCTTTTTCATATGATATAGTGTAGATTTGAACAGTCAAAATCTGAAAGTTGACCGAAGAGGAAACCATTGTTTCTCTGTGTAAAAATGTGCTCCAGCAATTTCACTTTCATTTTTCATTTGTGAAGATGTGAAAAATCCACATTTGATTTTAAGCCATCTACAGTTTCTTATGCATTAAAGTTTGAGTGTGGTTCGCTTAAACTACAATTTACTAGACAAAGAATCAAACCAAGGTTATTTATTTTCAAACCCTAATTGAGCCAAACAATTGTTGCCTAGTTTAGATGCTAGGTACTTTAAATGGATACTTTAAAATGGAAAAAGGCAGTTTTCAATCACCTCCATGTTTGAAAGAGGAAATTGCAAAACTCATGGATACTTCTGGTAATATCACTGAATGGCACCAGAAAAGTCAAAATCCGTAAAGTATTCTAGTGCTAATAAACATATTGTGGTACTTTTAACTCTGATATATTCAGGAAATTCCAGCACCTGCCTTTATATCTAAAGACGAAGCACTCTGGAATGAAGATGAGAAAAAAATATATAAAGAATATGAGAAGAAAGTTAAGGAATTAAATGAGGAAAGAGAGAAACATCGAAAGGTAAATTGAAATTAAGAGAGGACGAAAGATTATCAGGATTTTTGTCCTCTGAAGCTTGGTACATTTTTAAAGAAATCCGTTTTATATATGTTTAATAAATATAAACAATAAGGCTTATAGGGTTTTTTTAGGTTTTCAAAGTATTTGCCTATCATTTTTTGCACTAAACCCATCCATAAGATGAACTTGCAGGGATGTTGATATGCTTCCTCAGCTGGTTAGGGATGTAATCTATTGTCTAGCTATCTTTCTCTAACAGTATCTTTTTTCTTTTCCATCTTTGTGCTTTACATCTCTTTATTGCCTAATTTTTTCAATTCCATGTTTGTTTACCTTTCTGTATGTTGGAATCTGCCCTGAATCCTTTTCGAAAGATAGGACAGAATACAAATAAAGTGTTTATTTATTTTATTTTATTTTATTTATTATTTATTCCTCCCTGCTCCCAGATACAGTTAATTGATCCAGGCATAATAAGATAGGCAGATCAAGCCACAAGGCTACTAGCACTAATTTTTTTCCGTATCAGGAGCGACTTGAGAAACTGCAAGTCGCTTCTGGTGTGAGAGAATTGGCCGTCTGCTGAGACGTTGCCCAGGGGATGCCCGGATGTTTTACCATTCTGTGGGAAGCTTCTCTCATGTTCCCGCATGAGAAGCTGGAGCTGACAAATGGGAGCTCACTCTACTCTCCAGATTCAAACCACTGACCTTTCAGTCAGCAGTCCTGCCGGCACAAAGGTTTAACCCATTGCACCACTGGAAGCTTCACTAGCTGTATCTCTTCCTCTCTTGTAGACTTTGTTCTGCTGGGTAAACAGATAGAGATTAATGATGGGGTAATCACAAACATCGAGTGATATTGGAATGCCATTAAATTAAGTTTTGAGGCATTGAGGGTGTATCAAAAGTTAGAAAAATATGGCCACCATTTCAGTTCTTTTATGGTTCGTGCCCCATCTATCTTTGCGATCGCATCTCCCTCTATGAACTGGCGCGAACTTTAAGATCTTCCAGGGAGGCCCTCCTTTCGCTCCCACCACCGTCACAAGCACGGTTGGTGGGGACAAGAGCGAGGGCCTTCTCGGTGGTGGCTCCCCACCTCTGGAACATCCTTCCTAGAGAAATAAGGCAGGCTCCATCCCTCCCCTCCTTTTGTGAGAGCCTGAAGACCTGGTGGCTTAAACAAGCCTTTGAGGACGACTAGCTTTAGCTCAGCCCCAGATACTGTTGAATATGGCTGTATCTTTTTCTACCAATTACCCAGGTTACTTCCTCCTATTAGGCCCCAGAAATGAACAGCCATAGACTCTACCTATTTCCCCTGCACTAGCCTCGGCCCGGCCTTTTAAATTGCCTTGAACAGGCAGGATTATTTTAAATATATAAATGTGCTATTGTGATTTTTTATGCTTGTAGTGTCTTGTTAATTTTATGTTTATGCTGTTTTCTTTGTATGTATTGATGATGTTACTTGGAAACTGCTCTGAGTCCCCTCGGGGAGATAGAGTGGTATATAAATAAAGTTTTGTCATTGTTGTTGTCCCCCCCCCCCCCCCCTAATTTCCTCTCCAATTTGACAGAACAAGGACATTTCAGATTTTGTATCTATCAGTGTTTGGTTTATACATGGCTCCTTTTGATACAGTGAATGTACCATCCAATCAGATATAAATGAAAGTTCTTGTACCCCACATTCTTACTTCTGATCTATACTCGCTTAATCCCATCCAAGATAAAAACTTCATATCTTTTCTTTCTTAGATTCTGGAAACAGAATTGAGGAAACTTCAAGGCTCTATTCAGGAAACAACACAGACATTTGATGAAATTGTGAATAGACTCTTTGACAAAAAAGTTAACTGTGAAATGGTTATATATCAGGTGAACCTCAACATATACATATAAATTCGGCAGTCTTCCTTCCCTGTAAACAGCAGACTCACTGTCTCTTGTACAAACCTTTTCCTAGGAAGAACTAAAAATTACAAATCTTCTCTATTCGCTGCTTTTGGACGAAGAGTTGAGCACTAGAGAATCTGGGCTCTATAATTACCTTGATAAAAAGAGAAAAGCAAAGGTGAGTTCTGTGATTTGATAAAATTCATATAGAATCCTCAAGACACTTGAGAGATTAAAGAATTGCGCAGCCCCTTATAATTAGCTGCTTCCTAAAATCTCCCATAATGTTATCATCAGTGAGTTCTATGGAAACAATGTATACTGCATATCTAGGTTCTTGTGGGTTTTTTCGGGCTATAGGGCTATGTTCTAGAGGCATTTCTCCTGACGTCAGGAGAAATGCCTCTAGAACATGGCCCTATAGCCCGAAAAATCCCACATGAACCTAGTGATTCCAGCCATGAAAGCCTTCGACAATACATTATACTGCATATCAATTAGTTATTTCCCCCAAGTGTGTTTATGGGATAAGGACACATTTTGCTTATGTTTCAAAAGCACTACATGAATTTTAATTAAGACACGAGGCTTAATGCTGTTGTTTTATACCCTTATGTTTTACTTAATTGTGTTTTTATCTGATTGTTACTCTTTGCTATGTTTTATTTTAATCGCGTTTTTTGTTTTAATTGATTGTTTTGCTTTTGATGTTTTGTGGACATTTTGTCCCATGTATAAACCACCCCAAGTCCCTTCGGGGAGATGGAGGCAGGGTATATATATTATATTATTATAATTTCACTTTTTTCTACAGCTCATATCTAATGAAGCAGTCAAGGCAGCCAAAGCAGAAGTAGAAGCTTTCAGAGAGGCCTATGACATATTAATTGCTGAAGATAGAGTAAGAACCAAAGGATAAAATTGTATCATTTTGTTTTGTAGACCATTTGAGTTTAATTGGACTTGTTTTATATCTTCAACTTAATTAAAGGTCTTATCATAGCACACAGCATTGATGACCAAGACAGTTTTAAACAGTGTATTTTAATATTGAGGTAAATGTTTTTAATGTTTATGAATGCATATAATGAATTCTTGTCCCGGCATTGAATGTTTTCCGTATATATGCCATGCTCCGCCCTGAGTCCCCTTCGGGGTGAGAAGGGCGGAATATAAATGTTTTAAATAAATAAATAATAGCCATGGCAACATCCTTTAGGGCTTTGGCATTTGCACTTTAGGGAGAAGTATTTCTAATGGGTCCTTGGTACCTGAAGGTGCCAGATCTTTTCTGGTCTTGGAAAATAAGCATGGTCACCCTGATTAATATTGGATGGGAAATGACCTACAAATGCCAGGTGCTATAGTTTATAGGAAGGAGCTGACAAAACCACCTCTCATTATTCCTTGCCTAAGAAAATCCTGTGAAATTCATGTGGTCACCATATGTGGTTACAGGATGTAAAGGCACACACATATGTAAACTGAGGACCCTTCCAGACAGGCCTTGTATTCCAGGATCTGATCCCAGGTTTTCTGTTTATCCCAGATTATCTGGTAGTGTAGATTCATATAATGCAGTTTAAAGCAGAAAAACTGGGATCAGACCCTGCAATAAAGTGCCTGTCTGGAAGGGTCCCTAAGAGCTCCAGTGCCTCACTAAATTACAAATCACTGGGATCCATAAGGTACAAGCAAGGCAGATGAAGTAGAATCATAGCACTATAAGGATGTATCTACACCAGGTATCCTCAATCTTCAGCCCTCCAGCTGTTTGGGCCTCCAACTCCCAGAACCCCTAACAAGCTTGTTTAATTGTCAGGAATTCTGGGAGTTAAAGGCCTAAACAGCTGGAGGGCCACAGTTTGAGGATGCTTGGTCTACACCATAGAATTAATGCATATTGCGACCACTTTATCTGCCATGCCTCAATGCCATGGAATCCTGGGAGTTGTTGTTTGACAAGGTCTTTAATCTTCTCTGCCAAAGAGTGCTGGTTTCTCACCAAATGACATATCCCAGGATTCTATAGCATGGAGCCATTGTTATTAGTGGTCTCACACTGCATTAATTCTACATTAATGCAATGGAGGATGAACCCTGCATTGTGGATCACTCATATGGATGTTTATAAGAGTAACTTTGAAACAATAGTAATGCCTCACTATTAGATTCCAATTCCATATTCGTAAGTAAGTTAAATGTCTGTAGTATACAGGACTATGAATCACATAGTCTTTTGATTAATTTTGCCTATAGGACTCTAAGATTTATATGCTATCATATAGTACCACTTTACAAATTAAGAAAAATGTCCCTGCTTGTGTATTTAAGAAAAAATATAATATTCTTTTCAAAATGAAATTTAAGAGCCCTGTTGAACTAAGATTTCTAAACTACACAGCAAACATTGTGTGTTTTTAAATTGATCTATAGAATTAAATGTTGAGGTAGCAAGACAGAGGTTACTGGTTTGCCATGACCTAGGCTGTACTGCAGATAGTCCTGATGGCAAACCTGGAGTCTGACAATAAATGTTTACATCACACTATAAAATGAACTTCCTGAAATGGAATTTGAATTCAACTATGGTGAAAAAATGATATAGATTGATTGCTCACACTTTAATTTGATGCATGAGAGAAGTAATGCATACTAGCACTCAGGCTCAATCCTGAATGACAAAATCATACTTTCCTCCTCACTGCTAGCTTATGGAACGTGGCTTTAGAAAGGAATTTTCAGATCTTCATACCCATCAGATTGATCAACTATTCAAACTTTACAAACGTCGGCCAAGGTAAGGCTTCTTTTGTTGTTCCTAATGATTTCCTGAAAGTTTTTGCATTACCTCATTCAGTATAGTCCTTTTCTTTGAAGGTTTTACGTTATTAAAAGCAACAAGTAAATCAGGATAATCGTAGTACTACAACAATTGTTGTAGATGAGCAACTTATAAATAGACAAGGGTAGATCCAGACTAAGGGCTTGTCTACATGAGACAAAAACATTAAGCTCATGTTGAATGGACCATTGTCTGTCTTTATGACATGCAACAGCATCTGATGAGGTTTACAAGGGTTTTTTTAAAAAACCAATTTTACCTTGCTTTAGCAAAGTCAAATACTTTGCTAGGAAATCTGGACTATTTCATTAGTTCGGGGCAGCCTAGACAGTGATATTGGGTATGATCTGGATTGACCTGCTCTCCAGACTAGACACCAACGGCATCACACTTTCACTGAATTCATCAGGATTTCCATGGATGTGCTGTTTCTAAATATATTTCCAATTATTTTAATTGAATTGCTGTTTAATTTGAAAAGAATTGTTGGATTAGGGTTACATTTCCCTTTTCCAGGCAAGGTGAAGACTAGTTCAGTTAAGACGGTCTTCTGTAGCAGACTTTGCAAGTAAAAGCTGGGAATTTATTGTGCCTTTTTGAGACTGAATTTACTGGAATAAATCAGATCAGTGGTTCCCAACCTGTGGTCCGTGGACTACCAGTGTTCCCCAAGTTGATTAGGCCATGGCTACCTAGAGATGAGTTTCAAGTAAAGGGCTAGCTCAGCAGAACTGATGCTTGCCATCATGAAGAATGAGAGAGCGAGAGAGAAAGTGAGAGGTTTTTTATGTTATTGCAGACACACCTTGAAGTTTCTCTGGTCACATAGTATCATTGCTTACTTACATGGATACATTGATCCCCATGCATCACCACTGTGTGTTTGAACAAATGGGGAATGTTCTTGAGCCAGTATGTAGAAGGTAAAGATTTGTAGAGAACCCAACTGCATAATACCCTATTGCTCTGGTAGCAAATGGAAGTAGTGGGTGTGGAGAATGCTTCATTGAGTAGGTTTTTCCAACAAATATTGGTCTACCTATTTTGTTTTAAGCAAACCTTCGAGTTGCTTTGGGTTCTATGTTGTGGAAAAACTACGATGTAATTAAAATAAATGAATTGTATTTAAAATAAAAGCATGACCAATCATCTACATGCAAAACTGGAAAAACTAGCACTTTGGTTACTTTAAGCATAGATGGAAAGCAGCAGGATGGTTAAATGGATGCTACCTAGACTGAAGAACGATTCATCCGTAGCTATGAACACAGTGGGGAAAAAACAGCCAGGTGTAATGAAGAAACCAAACCTCAACCAGAGAGAGAGTGAGAATGATGGCTTGCTTGTTGGCAATATGTAACATGGCATGTTGGTGGTCTGGAACAATTATTGTTGACCATTTTTGGAAACAGTTTCATCTAATAGTGGGAATGTATACCAAATAATAATAATAATAAACCTTTATTTATACCCCGCTACCATCTCCCAAAGGACTCGTTGCGGCTTACAATAGGCCGAGACCCATACAACAATAAAAGACAGCAACAATACAGCAGTATACCGAAGGTTGCATGATTCCTTTCTTTGGATTAGTTGACCATGACAATTGTCTGTATTGTAATGTGGAGATGCTGATTTACTGTGTCTTCTGAAGAACAAACGTGGCCATGACCCTAAGGGTTTACAGAACAAAGATTAGGACTGTTCTACAAAACAAGCAAAGGGTTAAAAATATGAGGAACGTGGATCTTCCTGCTTATCTATGCATGGGGTTAGAAAAAAGTTAGCAGGTACAAGAGTCACACAATATAACAGAAATGTGTAGTGACAGGTGATGCATAGCCATGTTATAATGCAAACACAACACAGAGACACAATGATTAGAAAAAAATAATCCTTGTTTGTTTCTCATGGTCTATTATGAAAGGGCTTATAAAGTAAAGGTTCACATAGATGCTGCTAACCCATATGGTGATCGGCCAGGCTCTGCCAAAGCTTTCCAAGATGCTCGTGCCCATTTAATGAGAGCTATTGATGAAATGGATGAACTTGAAAACAGACCTGAAAATGTGGACCTTATCGCCTGGGACCGTTTCTGTGGAGTTAGACGAGCCAAAGTAGAAAGTGAGCAGGCGGTATGTACAATTATTTCCAGCAATCTTTTGTAAAAGAAATCATATTTTAACTGTGTTATACTGAGACCTGAAGGTTTTACAAAGATTCAGTCCAGGACAGAACTTGTAGGAATAGTAAACAATTTATTTTGTTTATCTAAATCAAACAGTTGCTATTTTAATACATTTCTGGTATGGTAAGGTCATCACTAGTTACTATCATTCGGTTAAAACATTTGAATAAATTCTGTCACTAGATGATTATAAAGTCAAAATTTAACATTATTTGACATTCTGCAGTGTGAAATAGATGCAATGCCTGAAAACATTGTTAAGGTATTTTAAAATAGAAGATAACATACTAAACAAACTTCATGTATACTTATCCTTGGCAAAATGATCTGTAACATTGGCAAAATGAACTGGTGCAAAAGGCTGTTCTCTTTACTTAGATAAAGCAAAAAGCACTGACACTAGCAGAGATGCAAACGTTCCTTCAGAAACAAATTGAAGATGATGAGAATATACGGAAAGAGATTGACCATGTTTTTGGTGAACTCAATCTGTAAGTATTACTATTGCTAACTTTATGCATACCATTCTTTCCCCTCGCCAGAATGGGAACAAAGATCAGCTAACCAAGTTCTTTGTTTTAGTCATATTACAGCATTCACAAGTTTAAGTTTTACAACAGTCATTGAAAATCTAAAAGGCAATTGTTTTTTAGATAATGGGTTTAAGGTCACAATTCACAATTTCCAGTCATCCTTCTAATTTGTATTAGTTTCAAACAACTAGAGGGATTTTTAAAAAAAGTATGTGTTTCTCCGTGGCTTTATTTGGCCTAAATGTATCATATTTTGTCTGATTTTAGAGGCTAAGCAAAGTCAGCTCTTGTTAGTACTTGGATGAGAGACTGTCAACAAATACCAGGTACTGTAGTTTATTTTTCAGAGGAAGAAACTTGCAAAACTACCTCTGACTAATCCTTAAGAAAACCCATGACATTCATAGGGTTACTTTAAGTGAACAGATTTGAAGACACACATGAAGACACACACACACACTTCTTCATGTGTTATCCCATACCATACAGAATTGTAAAGCCTATTTAAGTTAGAAAAGATAAATCTCCTGAGACAAAAAGGATCCATGACTGGCACCACTTTTAAGTTCATTTGCAATATCAAACCAGGTGTAATGTGAAGTGCTTTTTAAAAAGTGAAACATGCTTCTGTTGTAATGTATCTAGCAATTTTGCAATGAGACATATTGTCAATTTTGTTCTGTGAGGGCTTTTAACCAATCTTCCAATGTCAGAACTGAAAAGTGAAGTTCTCCACAAGTGATTTTGGGGTTACAGCCAACATCAGAAGAGTAAACATTTTCTCAAACAATGGGAGTTTCGCTTTCTCTCCTCTCTCTTGCATGATCCCCCAATCTTCAGTTGAGAATTCCAAACTATTTGCAAAATTGGGAATGATGTAAATAGGGTAGTAGAACTGGATCCCTTATCTATGTCCATTCTAGTTGAGGAGGGACAAAGTTGGACCCAGCGTATCTCATTTTTCCCATTCTGGAGCCATTGAAATAAATCCATCTTTTGTTTTCTCCGATGCTAGGCTTCGAGAGCAGAAGATGAAATATCAATTAGATTTGATGGTCCAGTTTCTCTTCAAACAAGGACAAGTGGAATTAGAAACTCCCAGTTTAATACCCGAGTACACAGATGCTATTCTTATCAACAGGAGCATTATTGAAGAACTAAACAGTGTAATCCGGGTAACTATTTTTTATTTCAAAAGAACTCATCTTTCTGTAGACCACTTTCAAAATTACATTTTAATTGTCCTCCTTTGCTCCAATTCTGTATATATTAATAGGGCAAACGTTTTAGCTATGTGACATAAATTTTATACAAAGTACGTATTTTCCTCTGAAAGCTTTCCCCTCCTTTATCAGTATGTTTGAATTTTTAGAAATTTAGTCTCTTTTCAGAGATGAACATATTCTTTAAACTTCATACTTACCTTTCTAGGCTCAAGGAGAAAGAAAGGTTGCTAGCATGGTGGAAAGTAAAGATTTCCGTAAAGGAATATTTCAGCTGGAATGGGAGCATAAAAAAATGCAGATGCAGGTTGAAGATCTAAACCAAAAGGCTCGAGATATTCAAAAATTCAATCTTACAAAAGATCACCAAATTGTAAGTTGTTATTCAAAATGCTTATTTTATCTGAGGACATCAAACCACACAGATTGATTTTATTCACCAATAATTGAACAATTCTATTTCTTTGTTAAATTTAAATTCTACATACTGCACACAGTACAGTGTTTTTCCCATGACATCTTACTCCAGAACGATTGTTCATGGTTTTGGGACCAGGCCTTCGGACAGTAGATGTATGTAGCATTTTAGAGGGGCATTGACTGGAATGGCGATTCGCCTGATGAGACTGTTTTGTTGTTTTAATGCTTGTTGATGTATTGTTTTAATTGTGATTTATGTTTAATTGTGGTTTTACTATTGTAATTGTTTGTATTGGCATTGTATCGGTACCCAATGTAAGGCATTGAATCTTGCCATTATTTATGTGTAAACCGCTTTGAGTCCCCCTAGGGGTGAGAAAGGCAGTATATAAATACTGTAAATAAATAAATAAAATAAACGATTTCAATGTTGTATAATTTTTAGGTTATTGCTGCATAATTTTAGGTTATTACTGCACATGTGGAAAAAAAAAGTATTTTATAGGCCAATGTATCAGGAAACTTCCTCATAATTTGATATAATAACTTATTATATGAAATCAGGTTACTTATGGTGGGATTCCATTCACATCTAAAAATATTAGTTTACTTAGCATGCTTTTCTCTTTACTTTTAAATTCCACAGTTCTTGACAGCAGCAAACTATGATAGCCGGATGAATCGTGAAGTCTCAATAATGGAGGGAACTCTTAATTTTCTAGATAAGGTAAAAGCTCAGTTTTACTATTCTCTTACCATCCATAGCTCTGTGTTGTTTTTTCTTGTGGCTTTTGGCAGATTTGATCAATTTCTCGCCTTTCAAGTCAAAATAAGAATCAACCCAAATTAAGTATATTCCACCAGGTCTCTTTTTCTTTGTTTACTATAATTTTGCCTGCTAAATTTGTGGTACATCAACAGATTTATGGCATAGCTTTTGGGGTTTTTATTTATTTCTTACAACATTGTCCTATCATTTTTTGTGTGTGTCAGAAGCAACTTGAGAATGCAAGTCGCTTCTGGTGTGAGAGAATTGGCCATCTGCAAGGATGTTGCCTTGGGACGCCCAGATGTGTTACCATCCTGTGGGAGGTTTCTCTCATGTCCCCGCATGGGGCTGACAGACAGGGGCTGACCTTGTCTCATGGATTCAAACTATTGATCTTCAGGTCAGCAGTTCAGCCAGCACAAGGGTCTAATCCATTGCACCACAGTGGCTCCTACTCCTAACATGTTTAATGGTAGCATTATTGCTACTGGTTTATGTACATTGCAACTAACTTTGAGTGCTCATCCAATACGGAAGCAAAATAAAACATGAAAAGCATTTTACTGGATCAGTATTTTTAACTTTTAATATTTTTTAGCTCTTGTAGTCCATTAAATATTATATTTAAAAGCTTTCTTTTAAGTATAATAGTTTGTATTGTAGATGTTCTGGAACAATATTACATTATGCAGGCTTACTTAATAAAAGCATGTCTGCCTAGGAAATCAAAACTTGCCTTCCCAGCTTGGCAACTAACATCTTATAAGCAAATGTATATGTTTCACTTGTTTTTCAATGACCAGGTTCACAAGAAAAATGTGCAGCAACGAGCGCAAGTTATCAAAGACCTGGAGAAGCACATAAATCTGAAAGACCAGGCAAACCAGAAGCTCAGCAAAGAATTACAAGAAATGCTGGTTACTGTGTCAGAAAGGCGACACATTTATGAAGCTACAGGTGATTCTTATTCTGAGGATTTGGGGGCGTTATATTTTCTCTGTGCACATTTTCTTCCCCTGGAAAGTGGCGTTCATTCCACCATATGCATATTATATAATAAGTGTGTTTTTCCCCACCTGTTAATCTTAGCATTAATGAAAGAACCGAATGATTTGGCTGTAATATTTTGCCTTGCACTGATTGCTGGTTGCTATAACACTGGTTAACTGTGCTCAAATATGCAGACATTTCTGTTCATTCCATTATTCGTGGATCACTTTTATTTCCACTTCTGTGAGTGCGTCACTCTGATATTACCATTTCCTGCACATTCTGTGCCATCAGTAGTACTGATCAGGAGAAAAAGGAGATTGCTGTACCATCAAATGTATTGTTACAGACAATTCATGTTATCAACAGCACTGAAAGCATATAATAATTCTAATAAAAGCATATCATTCAGGTGAGGCTAGCATTCTGTTGTTCATTTCCATTCTGGTTTTGATTTTAACAGACTCAGATATGCTGAAAGAAAGGATTGCTAAAGAGCGCTATGAAGACATTGTGCACCGGCAGCAGCTTGTGGATCTTGCCAGGGCCCAGGCACAGGAGTTGTCCGCCCTTCAAAATGAAGTGGAGAGGCTAAGAATGAGAACATTCCCTGCTTTCTTTGACGTACAAGAACTCTAGCAAGCAGATGCTTTGATGACAAGAAGAAATAAACACACTTGTAGACTTACAAGAGACTGCAAGAAAGTGAGGTCTTTCTTCCCTTTTTTAATATCACTTCATATCTCACTGCACTACTGCAGCTTTATAGATGTTTTCTACTTCATTTAGGTTCTCATACGGCCTAATTCCAATTGCTGGTTCCAACTGAAGTAGATCCACTGAATCAAACTTAAATGTTAACTTACTGAGTTCCCATTCTATGGATCAACTGCAGTTGGTTTTAAACCTATGTACGTTACAATAAAATAAATTTAAAGAGTCAGTATTGCCTATTGTCATCGTGAATTTTGTCAGCTGGAATCAAGCACTCCTGCTTTTCAAAGATCAAAATAAGAACTAGATTGAGAACAGAAGCAGCTTTGTAGGGAAGGCTTAAGACAAAAACATGCAACTACAGAACCTGGACACAAGAGTCTTGAAAAGTGTACTGAGTAGGCAAGAGTCACCTCTTGATGCTCACAGTCTTTGAGTAGTTAGGCAGCATAACATAAACATTAATTGTATACCGCAGCCATAAAGGGCCACTGATTGAAGTGCCACTGATTGAGCCAGTGAGCAAAATCCAGGCTTTATATTTGACTTAAATAGTGATAAACAAACAATTATACTCAATAATAAAAAGAAGGGTGTGGAATCTACACACAGTTTCCTGATCTCCCTTTTTAAATTAATGTAAGAGAAAAAATTGTTTAGAAACTATACTTGTCATAGTTTTACATCAAACACTTATTCAACAAGAAATTAAAGGTGCACCAATTCCCTGCACAATTTAAGTTTGCATGTATTATAACTTTTTAAAATAATCATTTCATTGGTGACGATGAAATGACACTTTTTACCAGAAAATATATATTTTCTCCACATTTTAAGCAACAGTTTTACCAAAAAAGACATTTTTTCCATATGAAAACCAAGTGGTATCTACTGCAGTCCAGTCATACAATACAGAAGTTTATCTTTCCAAGGCTGAAATCAAGAAATGTGTTATTCTGCATCTGTAAAATCTTCTTCTGTTCTGTTATAATGTAGCAGCTGATCATCCAGTCCAAAGTTGTCTATCAACTGAGTAATACTTAATTTCTGGCTATCTGTAGCTAGTGCTGTTTGTAGTTCATATAGCATCACTTGAGAACTGCTTCGCCATTTTGATATCAGAGACTGAAGCTCTGTTGGGTTGTTCTGAAAATAAGAAGAGGCAAACAAAAGTGTGATGTGTGATACAATAGAAACAGGTTAAATGTGAAATATCTACAAGTTACACGTATTTGTCAAATAAGAACTCCCAGAAATGGATTTAACAGCCAATAAGCATCTACTGTGGTTATCAATGGTTCCCTTCTAACTGTGTCATTCCACTAATGCAAATGACATTATGCACACAGTCAGCTTGCTCTGGAATATAATACAAAGGGGAAATCCAGCACAGTTTTCAGTTGTGACACTGGTTATGGTAGTAAGAATGTACCTAGACGAGGGGGGTCAACTCTTTGATTGAGAGCCACATCAGCCATATGGTTGCCTTCAAAGGGAATCCATGGAAACAGAATCCATGGACACAGAGGGCCAAATATATATTTACATAGTGGTAGGTGTTCTTTAGTTTTTACCCAATTCTGGTCCCCAGGTGTTATTGCATGACAGTTCCCATCACTTTTGATTATCTGCCATGCAGACTAGAGATAATGAGAACTGGAACCCAACAGCACTTGAGGCTCTGTGGTTGGGAAAAGGTTAAAGGTCATTTTAAAGTTAGGCATCAATTCACAAGCCTTGTATCTAAATTCAAGCCTCACTGTCCTGACTAAACTGAAGAAACTGCAGCCTTCCAGATGTTACTATATCAACTCCCACCAGCTCTAGTCATGATGTCTAATAATGAGGAATGTTGTAATCCAGTATCTGGAGGGCAGCATAAAATGACACTGAGGGCTGGATTTGCCCTTGAGTTTGGCACATGTGTGCTAGATATTCCACGGATAAATAAGCAATCACCTGCACAATTGGAAAAAGTAACTGAAATCTTCCAATTAATGTTACAGTAGGCACAGGCCTCAATCCCTATATCAGAGGATAAAAATCAAGCAAGCAAACAAATGAATTCTCTCACATTAGCAGTGCCAGTGTTTGAAAGTACAACGTATCAGGTCCCTAGAGCTGTGTAACAAAATCTTTTTAGAAGATTCGATAAGTTTGGATTTACAGAACATCCTCATATTTAGGACAATACTTAGATGTTTTGGACTAAACTGCCCATACTAATGGGGTTTATGGGATTTATAGTACAAAAAATTTGAAAGGAATAGGTTGCCTAACCCTGGACCTGATGAATAAAACACATTTTGGTGCCTCAAATGTTAGACATGTTTCTGGGTATTTGTGGCCTGGTGATTCCACAATGGCACCAGCTTTACCCTATAAGCTCTAGTTTTTGAGATACAGAGCATATGCCATATTCCTGTTATCATCTGCTTGCTCACAGAAAGGCATGGTAACCATATCTAAGAGCTGATGCAGTCTATTCAATGCAATTTTCCTGAATCAGCGCCCCAAATAACCCCAGGAACAGGCCCACCAAGATTTTGTTGTTGGTGTTATTGGGCTATGTAACTGATACTGAATTACACAGGAAGGATAGTGATTTTTCATATTGTAAGGAAACACACAATGAATGCAAAGGCAGTATTTCTTCAGAGAGGCGTCTAGTTTCTTTCTTTGGAATCTGTATCGCGTGTGTCACTGTTGAACATGGATACATGAGATGCATTACCAAACCAGACTAGGATTTTGGCTGATATTTTTGAGTCAATTACAAAACTAGAAAAAACATAAACAAAAAAAGGTCTGGAGACCAAAAAGATTTTGTTTTTTCTAAAGTTTGCTTTTTTGATGGAACTAAAACACTTAGATTGTACAATTACTTAATTTCACTAATGCATCATTTCACCTTTGATCTGTACATCTTGACCAGTTTGAGCCTTCGAAGAAGTTCCTCCTTTTCCTGGACCTCTTTTATCAATGTTGCCTTTTCTTCCAGCAATTCCCATGGCCTGCCATCTTTTCCCAGCAAAAGAACTTCTGTAGAACCCCGTGCATTCTTACTATATCCAGTACATTCAGAAATACAGAGATCTCTCTCTTGCATGCTACTTTTCAAACAACTGCTTCCATCAGGAACTTTTCCCAAGTCTTCATCTTTGCTTTGTGATATACAATATGTTTCTCCTTTAGACAAAGACTCTTCTTTACAAGTACTGCAGTTGTTTTCTTCATCTATTTTTAGACGCTTTGGTACAATTAAAGATGAATGAAATGACCGCCTCGCTTTCTTCAAACGTTCTCTAAGGGTTGAACTCATTGGCTAGAGTGAATGTAAGCAGGTAGCATTAAGAAGGAAAAGAACATGTAAAAAAGGGGATCAGCAACAATCAGGCAAAGTAAACCAGGACATATCTACACTGACACTATATAATGTAGCTTGGAACTAGTTTCACTGTGCAAAGGATTTGAAAACAAACCAGTGATGACATTGAAAATGGAAAACAGTCTCAAACCACTATGCAGGTATCTCCTGTAATACATGTTGCAGAGTGCAATAGCAATTTACATGTTGTGGCTTCAAGTCATCTTGAAGCTGCGTTATACAATGTTACTGACAGCCTAGGAGCTGGAGATGAGGAGCACTTCACTGCCACTGAAGCCAGGACAGGACTGTGAGCACAGGAGCGCTAGCAGCCACAATAGCATCAAGGGATGCATGGGGGGGGGGTATCATTTTTGTTTACTTGCAAATAAGTTCCACTGTGCCTTCCCAGAATAAGGAAACTCCCAGCAATATGTCCCTAAATGCACTTTAGTAGTGATCTAGGATTGTCTGCACGCTCTATCCCTCTCCAAAATTTCTATCTTGTTTATTGTCACCTTGTCACGGCTAGCATTATTTTTTAAATTTTTAATTAGTACATTTGGCCCTGCCATAGGTTTTTAAACTTCGTTGTGTTATTGTTAATATTTATTGCTATTTTCTGTTTATGAGTTTTATTTATTGTTTGTATTACTGTTGCTATTGTTCCATTGTTGTATTGTGGGCTTGGCCTCATGTAAGCCGCACCAAGTCCCTTGGGGAGATGGTAGCGGGGTACAAATAAAGTTTTATTATTATTAATAATAATAAACCACCCTCTCCCTGCTCTGAGCAACCCAACAGGGAGGGCACAGTGTGGAGACTGTGGTACAGGCGACCGTTCTTGGGAGTGACACGATGTGTTCAGCACAGGCTGTCACAGTGGCCATCTTTTTGGTGTCACCTCCACCACAGGCCTCTACACTGCCCTAGTGACAACACTGTACCTAGGCAGTCAAACAGTTCAAAAACAATGCTGCGATTAACCAGAATATAAATCAAACCAGGTTTTTGGTTTGGGGTTGTTGTTGTTGTTTGTTTTTTTTTGTCAACTAAATAAATTGCAAGTGGAGTGAAGGAATCCCTTAGCAAATTAATTATAATTTAATTGTTACTTTCAATAATGGAGAAACCAATTAATTACACATAGATCTGTTATAGGCATATGTACTATACTGTGGAGTTATGTTTGTCAGTATAGCCAAGGTTTGCACAATTCTACATAAAATCAGGCTTTACAACAATTTGGAAATACAGTAGATTCAGTTAGGCAGAACTCTTGAAGCAACTGGCAAAAAACCCACAAAGAAATAATATTTTAAATTTAAAAGGCTTGTATAATGCAGCAAAACTGTAAAACTATTACATTAAATTGTTTGTCTTTATTTGCTTTTAATTATATATTTTAATATTAATATCAAGCCAATAGTGTTTATGGTACAGAAAGAAGTCGAATATTCTTAATAGAAACTCCCAAGCAACCAGAAACTACATTTATCCAACATCTATCAATCCCCATGAGTGCCGGTTAACTGAATCTCCTGTGCTAGCAAGAGAACTGGAAATATTAGGCAACATACCTGTTTCTCTGAGGAGCTGCTGCTTTTCAGGCCACTGCTTTCTGGAGTGGAGCATAGTGATGTAGGTTCATTTAACACAGTTGTTTCCATTGTGAGAACTAATAGTTTGCTGTGAGTTGACTAATGTACTGGAGAGAGAGAAAAAATTCAAGGTTTACATGTGGGCATGTTTTAAAGCCATGGATGGTTGAATCTCTGGGCACAGAAACCATGAATATCACCAATGAGCATAATAATGGTGATGAAAAAGCCAAAACCAAGGTTACCACATCTGTTACTAGAACTCCAGTATGCTGATGACAATGTCGTCTGTGCGCATTCAGAAGAAGATCTACAAGCCACTCTAAACACCTTTGCAGAAGCATACACAAAGCTTGGCCTGTCACTGAACATCGAGAAAACCAAAGTGCTGTTCCGCAATCACCGGCCAATCCCTCTCCAATGCCAGAGATACAGCTTAATGGTGTAACATTAGAAAATGTTGACCATTTCCACTACCTCGGCAGCCACCTCTCCACCAAAGTCAACATCGACACTGAAATACAACACCGCCTGAGCTCTGCGAGTGCAGCATTTTTCCGAATGAATCAGAGAGTGTTTGAGGACTGGGACATCTGTAGGGATACCAAGGTGTGTGTTTATAAAAGCTATTGTTCTCCCAACACTGCTATACACCTGCGAGACGTCATACTCAACTCCTGGAACGATTCCATCAGCGCTGCCTCCGGAAAATTCTGCAAATTTCTTGGGAAGACAAGCGGACAAACGTCAGCATGCTGGAAGAAGCAAAGACCACCAGCATTGAAGCGATGGTCCTCCGCCATCAGCTCCGGTGGACCAGCCACGTTGTCCGGATGCCCAACCACCGTCTCCCAAAGCAGTTGCTCTACTCCGAACTCAAGAACGGAAACTGAATGTTGGAGGAAAGGAAAAGAGATTTAAAGATGGGCTCAAAGCCAACCTTAAAAACTCTGGCATAGACACTGAGAACTGGGAAGCCCTGGCCCTTGAGCGCTCCAGCTGGAGGTCAGATGTGACCAGCAGTGCTGCAGAATTTGAAGAGGCACGAATAGAGATTCTATAGCATTGAGCCGTGGAAGTTTGAAGTGGTAACAAACTGCATTAATTCTACAGTGTTGATCAGGCCTGGCCAAGCTTCGGCCCTTCAGGTGTTTTGGACTTCAACTCCCACAATTCCTAACAGCCGGTAGGCTGTTAGGAATTGTGGGAGTTGAAGTCCAAAACACCTGAAGGGCCGAAGCTTGGCCAGGCCTGATGTAGATGCACCCCAAGGCCTTCTGTCGTACTACAATATCCATTAGCCGTGAACCAAAGGGTCCCTCGTTCCTTTCCTCCGTCTCTTCTTATTACCTCAAAAGCCAAATCTCTCCCAAACTCCCGCCGCCGGGGAAGCCGACCGAAATCTCTTCTCGCGATCTTTCAACGCGGATCGGTGTGCGCCTGCGCAGTGCGATCTGAAAAGGGAGGGGGAGGGAAAGGAGGCTGAAAGAAGAGACGTCTATTCTGTAAGGCAGGCCTGGGCGAACTTGGGCCCTCCCTCCAGGTGTTCTGGACTTCAACTCCCACAATTCCTAGCAGCCTCAGGCCCCTTTCCCCCCCCCCCCCCCAGCCGCTTTTCTATCTATCTATCTACCTATCTATCTAAATATATCAGGTATGGGCAAACTTTTTGGCCAACATAAACTTTTGCCATACAGGAAAAGTGTAATCAAAACTCCCCCAACAGATGGCCACCCAGTCTCAATAATAATAATATTAATAATGATGATGATGATAATAATAATAATAATAGAAGTAACCCCAGGGGCCATCTAGTCCAACCCCCTTCTGCCATGCAGGGAAAGCACAATTAAAGCACCCTCAACAGATGGCCACCCAGCCTTCTCAATAGTATTATTATTATTGTTATTAATAATAATTAATAATAATAATAATAATAATAATAATAATAGAAGCAACCCCAGGGGGCATCTAGTCCAACCCCCTTCTGCCATGCAGGGAAAGCACAATTAAAGCACCCTCAACAGATGGCCACCCAGCCTTTGTATATAATAATAATAATAATAATAATAATAATAATAATAATAATAGAAGCAACCCCAGGGGCCATCTAGTTCAACCCCCTTCTGCCATAGAAGAAAAGCACAATCAAAGCACACACACACACCCCATAGCTGGCCACCCAGCCTTTGTAATCATAATTATCATCATTGTAATAATAGTACACCCACTTAATAATAATAATAATAATAATAATAATAATAATAATAGAAGCAATCCCAGGGCATTGCAGTCCAAGCCCCTTCTGCCATGCAGGGAAATCACAATCAAAGCACCCCCAACAGATAGCCACCCAGCCTTTATGATAATAATAACAACAACAACAACAACAATAGAAGCAACCCCAGGGGCCATCTAGTACAACCCCCTTCTGCCATGGAAGAAAAGCACAATCAAAGCACCCCCCAATAGATGGCCACCCAGTCTTTGTAATCATAATTATCATCATTGTAATAATAGTACATCCACTCAATAATAATAATAATAATAATAATAGAAGCAACCCCAGGGCAATCTAGTCTAAGCCCCTTCTGCCATGCAGGGAAATCACAATCAAAGCACCCCAACAGATGGCCACCCAGCCTCAATAATAATAATAATAATAATAATAATAATAATAATAATAATAATAGAAGCAACCCCAGGGGCCATCTAGTTCAACCCCCTTCTGCCGTGCAGGAAAAGCACAATCAAAGCACCCCCCAATAGATGTCCACCCAGCCTTTGTTATCATAATTATCATCATTGTAATAATAGTACATCCACTCTAATAATAATAATAATAATAATAATAATAATAATAGAAGCAACCCCAGGGCAATCTAGTCTAAGCCCCTTCTGCCATGCAGGGAAATCACAATCAAAGCACCCCAACAGATGGCCACCCAGCCTCAATAATAATAATAATAATAATAATAATAATAATAATAATAATAATAGAAGCAACCCCAGGGGCCATCTAGTTCAACCCCCTTCTGCCGTGCAGGAAAAGCACAATCAAAGCACCCCCCAATAGATGTCCACCCAGCCTTTGTAATCATAATTATCATCATTGTAATAAGAGTACACCCAGCCTCAATAATAATAATAATAATAATAATAATAATAATAATAGAAGCAACCCCAGGGGCCATATAGTCAAACCCCCTTCTGCCATGGAAGAAAAGCACAATCAAAGGACCCCCAACAGATGGCTACCCAGCCTCAATAATAATAATCATAATAATCATAATAATCATAATCATAATAATGGGTTGTTGTGGATTTTTTGGGCTATATGGCCATGTTCTAGAAGCATTCCAGATACATCAGGAGATAATGCCTCCAGAACATGGCCATATAGCCCAAGAAACCTACAACAACCCAGTGATTCCGGCCATGAAAGCCTTCGACAATACAATAATAATAATAATAATAATAATAATAATAATAATAATAATAATAATAGAAGCAACCCCAGGGGCCATCTAGTCCAACCCCCTTCTGCCATGGAAGAAAAGCACAAAGCACCCCCAACAGATGGCTACTCAACCTCAATAATAATAATAATAATAATAATAATAATAATAATAATAATAATAATAATAGGGGTCATTCAGTCTAACCTCCTGCCATGCAGGAAACGCACAATCAAATAATCCCCCGAGGGATGGTCATTCAGACTTTGTAACAACAATAACAGCAGCAGAAACCCAAGGGGCCATTGCAGAGTCCCTCAGCATGCTTCATGGAGCCCCAAGGAGCATGCTTTAAGAACCACTGACTTAAAGGTACATAAACAGCAAGGCTGTAGGTTTCCCTTTGTATCAGGGCTTTGTCATTCTTCTGCAGAAGGTGGCACAAAGGAGTCTTTGTAGCTTTCACTGATGATAGGCTTCAGTGCAAAAGTCTTTATAAAAAAAAGAATGGCAGGAGGATGAGGATTTTGCAACTTAGAAGAAATCATAAAGATATACAACAACCTATAAAGATATATTCAAGGTGGAATAACAGATATGACTAGAATAAGTACTTCAATGTGACAAGTTAACATTCCTACTCATTGTAAACCTTTCCTGGTTGCTTTAGAAAAACGGATTCTTTGTAGGGTTGGGGTTCCTCAGGCCTTACAGGTATTGGAGTGCAAGTCCCATCATCCCTGAATGCCTGGAAATTATGGCATCTGAGTCCAACAACAACTTTCCCATGTTTTCCAAAAACTGCCAGGCCATTCAGAGCTAATCAAGGTGGCCAATTGCAACATTCACACTTGCCTCAAGCAGAGAAGAGTTCTTTCTCTCACCCTGGACATTCCACAGATATATAAACCCCATTTTCCTAGTTTCCAACAGACCTCACAACCTCTGAAGATGCCTGTCATAGATGTGGATGAAACGTCAGGAGAGAATGCTTCTGGAACATGGACATACAGCCTGGAAAACCCACAACACCCCAGTGATTTCGGCCATGAAAGCCTACAACAATACATTCCCCATGTTTAGTTTATAATATGACCAAAACAGCCTGGACATTTCACCTCTGACATGTTAGAACATTTGTCTTTTTAATCTATTCAAAGAGCCAAAGGTAAGTACTAGATGGAAGCTATTGTGTATGATGCTTCTTCATCATCATATGTAGCTACTTAATAAAGCCAGCCCTACTGTTAAGCAAAGTAAGGCTGCTACTTCATTTAGCAAAGATAACGTACAATAAGAACTGAATAAACATAGCACCATCCATCGTTTTTCCCCCCGTAAGAATATTGTGCCAGCACCTCTCAAGGGAGATAGAATCTATTCTGCCACCCCCAAGGCTGCTCTAAGGGTGCATCTACACTCCAGAATTAATGCACTTTGACACCACTTAAACTGTCATACCTCCATGCAATGGAATTATGGGAGGTGTCTTTTGATGAATTAATAGCACTCTTTGGCAAAGAAGAATAAAGAACACTTTATTTATTTATTTATTTAATACACTTGTATACCGCTAATATCTCAGCCTAAATCGGCGACTCATTGCGGTTTACAGCAATTAAAAGCAATTAAAAGCAATGTACAATTTAAAACAACAACACGTAAACAATACAAATTATTGGGCCACCAATAATAATACCATGCTTCTCGTCACAAAAAATCACAGTCCAGAGTTCGTCATCCATAGTTAACCAGTCCTTAGTCTATAAATTCAATAGTAACAAATTAATTGAATGCTTGTTTACACAACCATGTTTTTAATCTCTTCCGAAAGACCATCAGCGAAGAGGCTGATCGTATCTCTATAGGGAGGGTGTTCCAAAGCCGAGGGGCCACCACAGAGAAGGTGGCCATATATCATTTGCCATATATTAACCAAAAAAGGAAACAGAAATTGAGAGAAATGGCAACGTTCCCAGCATTGTTGACATTACCGACTGTGGAGACAGAAGACTGATGCAGTAAAAATAGTCATTATTTATGCTTCCAACTTTTCAGGGATCTGCCAGCAGAAGTTACAAGTACAAGCCAAAGTACTTTTAAAACGTATGTTCTGGTACCAGCATTTGGATGAGTTTGTTTGTACTTTGTTGGGGAATGAAAGAGTTAACAACTACCATGTCAGGCTACACAGAGAAGCC